CATAATAACATAAAAGATCTGTAACTTGTGTTTCGCGCCACTGCTTCAGCAAAGCATCTCTCACTCCCAGTCAGTCCACTCTGCCCCTCCCCCCATTGCTGTACGCGGCGCACACACACTCATACACACACACACACACACACACACACACACACACACACACACACACACACACTGGAATATAACGTTACCTGATAGCATCCAAGATGTCATGGCATTTTAGGACACCACTTCGTTTGTGGTAAGTCAGGGCAGGTAGTTCACGTAGGGACAGCAGGGGGAGACGGCCTCCCCTGAGGGAGGGACAGCAGGTGAGTTTAACAGCAGAGAAAGGGGCAGTAGGTTAGAGTAGTTTCATATAACTATGTTGCTGAGATGTGTGCCAAACATTTAACCCATTGCACTTACATGATAAACTGCATATTCTTCTTACCTAAAAGAGCAGTGTGCTCAAAATATTTTCATTAATTTGGCTAATTGTAGTTACCTTCATTTTCAGCGCAAATCAGACCTTCGTAACAGGCTGCAAGGAGAGCACCTGGCTGGCTGCCTGCGGGTCTCCATCAATGGGCCGAGTCCAGAGGAGTTTAACTACCAAAGGGCATTAGAACTGTTTTTTTCAAAGCCCAGGAAAATTAAATGTCCAAATTCGGGGTGAAAAGTTTGCGAATAGGGATGTAGGGAGAGTTGTAGAAATGTGTATTTTGGATGTTTTCTTTCCACTAGTCTGAAAGAAGACGCAAAATGGCAAAATAACGCAAAATAACGCAAAATAACCCAAAATGTTTTTGCCTGCCATGTCTCCCCTTCAGGCTGCAACTAACGACGAATTGATGACGTACCTTCCGAATCTAATTTATTTTTTACTACAATTTAGCTTACAGTTTAATTATTTATTATTTTATTTGCTAAAAAATAAACTAGTTCAACACAGGTAACCACTTTTGCTTAATTTCTTTGATGGCTCAAATGTATGCTCTAGTTGATTTTGTGTTTTCACCATTCGTATCTATACAACCAATGTATTTAGATTAATTTGTTTACAAGAGCACACAGTTCTTCATGGATCTAGCCTCTTAATTTTGCTTTCAAAGTGCACCAGATTGATGCATTTAACTTTAAAATGTAAAAAAAAAAAGTTCGGGTAAGCGTGCCCCCGGACCCTCCTAGAGTCCACCCACCATAGTCTCAAAAAATCCTGTGGGAAACTGTCCAGGATGAGTTCCTTTGTCTTGGTGACATTGAGGAGAAGGTGACTGTCTTTACACCATTGGGTGAAGTGGGCAGTGGATTGGTGATATGCTGTAACTGATTGTGTGTTAGAGAGGAGGGCGAGTATGACTGTGTCATCAGAGTATTTTAAGTATTTTGTAATGGGAGAGGGGCTAAGGCAGTCATTGGTGTACAGAGTGTAGAGAAAGGGGCTGAAGACGCAGCCTTGGGGGGCTCCAGTGTTGACAGTAATGGTGTTGGATGTGATGCTTCCCACCCTCACTGCCTGTGGTCTGTCACTGAGGAAATTATGGATCCAGCGAATGAGGAGTGGTGGCACATGGAGGTGGTGGAGTTTAGTTATCATGGATTGACATTGAATTGTGTTGAAGGCAGAGCTGAAGTCTACAAAGAGAATGTACAAAGGATGTGCCAGGTGTAGTATAGATGAGGGGGAGGTTTATGAGGTGTTTGGGAGATTTGTTGTTTTGAATAGTTGGGATCTATTTTACTCTTTTGTTATGTGTAGTGAGTTCTTTCTACTGTTGACCTATAAAACTTAACTATTGGGTATTTATTGGGTAACTCTAAATTAATGCTAAAGGTTAATTGTTTTCTTAATTGTTGCTTCCTGTGGTGGGAGGAGTTACCGCACATATAAGCAGGAGTTGAGGGTTCTCCAGGGGAGAATACGTTTGAGGATGTTGGTGAGCAGGACAAACAGTTTGTTAGCTGCCAGGGGCCCCAAGCTTAAAAGGGCCCGGAGCAGAGTTGAGGTTATTTTTGATACCTCTAGTTACCTTTTTCCTAAGTTGTGTTTATTTGTTTTTCATTTTTATTTTGTTGTTTTCTTCGGTTTGGGCCGAGCTGATCCTCACTGTAAATAAGCTGCACTGATCCATTGCTTGGGGGAAAAAAGGGAAATAAAGAAATTTGGACTAACTGAACAGTTTCAAGGTCCCTTCCTTCCTGCCTTCACTGCTCGAGCAATCTTTAGTCATGTACTGACTATATTAATATAATCATAACACAAACAGCACAGACAGACAATACAATTTAATAATAAAAAAAAAAAAATAAAACCAGATTGTGGTGATGGATGTCTTCATGGTGGTAATTAAGATGTTTAAGAAAAAAGGTCTTTAGACGGGTTTTAAAGACATCAGTGGAGGAGGAAGATAACATTGCAAACTATGTCACATACTGAAGCAGATTTCTGAAAGTAAAGATTGAAGAAATGAAGAAATTATTGTATTAATTTAACTATGTAACTTATTTTGAAGGCAAGCTCATTCTAGTTCTGGAACATTGATTGTATCTTAGCAACGCTGACCAATCAGAGTGCAGCTTTAGTTTCCGGTGTGATTACGTAATAAAAGGAGTGTGAGAACTTTCTAGACAAATGGAGCAAAATCCAGAAACTTCAACACTTTGAGCTCATAGTTTAATTTAATTGTTTTTATTCACTGGTTCCAACATTCAACAGAAAGAAAACAGAAAGATAAAAGAAACTTTTACTCATTAATATTATTCACTTTTGTAGAAGCTGTGTCATCATTTAATCCTTGATGTTAATTATCTAATGATGTTTATTTAGTTTTTATTTCCATATTTCCACATTCAAATGCACTAAATACTCATTTAACCAGCATTATTTCTCCTTATAGACCCGATCATTGTTTCACAAGTTACTGTGAAGATACACAAAAAAATACACAAGAGATAAAGATCTTCCAGCAATTGTTTCAAATGCATTGAAGTGATGTTTTAACACATATAAACATACAAAGAACTGACGCATAAAGTGGCTGCAGGCCTTCAGTGTTTGCCATTTGCCTTTTTAAATAATACAACTTTATTTATTTCACACTTAAATAGATGCAAAACAATGTGTTTCACAAAGAGAGTCCAAAAGGAATAAAATGTGACAGAGCTGCCTTCACTGTAAATATAATTAACGAGGAAGGTTTGTGATTGCCTAAGAGAGAATGGGCAGCAGATTAAATATTGATTAGATCAGTTAGATGTTAGATCTAATGCAGCTGTCATATAATAATGCTCCATCTGTCCCAATGAGCTCTATTATGTCTCATATGTTTCACACTTCAGTAAACAAGACTTTTATTTTGTGGGTTTTATTCCATTCAGGTAAAAAACACTTTTACAGAAGCAGTGCTGGAAGTAGATTTACTTTAATACAATTCAGAGGAATTTGTAAAAAAACTGTAAAAATAAAAAGTTTCTGTTGTTAATTTACTTTTCTTCTTCAGAAAAACTGAAATCTTTGAGTTTTTAGAAACAAGTGATTGAGTATTTAACAACTGTTCACTGTGGATGAAGAATCTGGTCCGAAGAGGATCTGGAAGTGTTTCTGTATTCAAACAGAAGAGTTCTGGGTCAATCCCAGTATACGTCAGCTGGCTCCAGTCGGTACCGGGGGAGAGACTCTCGGTGGATCATCCTTCACTGCTGTGGTATGTTGATTAGGCAACAATAAGATTTCAGCAAAACAAGATACAACAATAGTTACATGAGTTCCATAAAGTCAGTTTTCATCATTCACAATTATTTTTCATTGTTAGATTGCTTGAAAATAAAAGATTACATCTATTTACAACTGAAAACCAGAACCAGAAATACTTTGTTTTATTGGTTAGTTTTACACTTGACAAATGTTTGAAATACAGATTCAAGGTTTTATAAAGAAGAAAAGTAAATTATCATGAATTATTAGTTTATTTAAACTGAACTAAAATATTGAACTTTTTATATTTTACATATAAACCTATAATGAATATTGTTATGGATTAAACTACCAAGCAGTAAAATGTATTTACAGTCAGCTAATAGATTTATGTTTTATTAACACAATAATACAGTTAATATGATAAAATGACTCTCTGGGAGGACGACATTGTGAATGATCAATACTTTTATTCTGATTTTGTACTTTTACTCAACACTGATTATATTGAAAATTCTTAATAAAAGTTAAAAAACATTCTTGAGCAAGTAACATTTTAGTAATTTTGAGTAACATAGATTTTATATTGTAACTTTTATTTGTTCTGTGAAAACAAAATACCTAATAATAATAATAAGAAGAAGAAGAAGAAGAAGAAGAAGAAGAAGTTCTTAATCAGGAAAATGACGTCAGTTAAAATTACTAATAAAAGCTGCTTCATAAAGAATCTTTTTTACTTACAAAACTGAGCTTTTGTAATATATATTATTTATTTTCAGTTTCGGCACTTTTTTTGAGTAAAGTGACTGTTCAGTATTTAAATGTGTGAGTTTTCTCTGGCTCCCCATTCTTACACTTTGTTCTTGCTGTTTCATTGTGTTACATAAACTTCAGGTCACTTCGTCCCAACTGCTGTTAACAATCCTCCCTTCCTGTGTCCTGCATCCTCTGTTTACTGCTGTATCACATCCTGGTCCTGGTTCCCGCCTGGTTCAGCCTGAATCCCAACTTCTCTGATTGTTTTTGCCATACATTTATCTTTCACCTGCAGCCAGCCTCGACCTTTAGACAGTAATTATCTCGGCACTATGAACAATTCTCTGAACAACGAGAGTGTGAATACAAGACTTTCTCAGTTAATATTGGAGCTTATGGAGCTCAAATGGTCGTAAATGTTCTGGAATAAGCAGTTAAACAGGGATTGTTTCATTTCTGAGACACTTTGACAGTGACTTACAGTCACCTGTAATTATTCTGTCAAACATTACCCAGAAATACTCACTGATACCAACTTTATAAGACAATGGAAATTTCCACTGCAGCAGTTTCACTTTCACTTTTCTTTTCTTTTTTTCCTTGCGTCCTCCCTCTGTCTCTCAGTAAGAGCTGAGGATAAAGCTGAAGTTTGGACTGAAGACCCTGTGACGCTCCACAGCAGGTAAGATCAAACTATTTTATTATTTTTAATTTGGTATTTTGTTTCTCCAACATATTTACTTTAGTCTATGACACATAGTTTTCCAGTCAGATTGATGTTTCAATCTTATAAAAAATAAAATCTCAGCACAAACTCTAAATGAAATGCCGCTTCTGGAGCTTTCAACCACATCTTGTTTGTTTTAAGGTTTATTTGTATCTTGTGTACATGGCCTAAAGAAATGCAACAATCACAGCCTCTATAGCTGAAGCCAGTGGTGTAGTGGTGGCAGGAGAAGTGGGTACGCTCTTATTTTATGTCCCCTAAAGGCTTTTTAAGCAGCTCATCCAGCAAATGATAAACTCCCTGTGTGAACTCCTGCTGCTGGACTTTAGTTAGGATCATTATAAAATGAACATTAGACACAGAAGAGGAGCAGATTTTACAATAAATACTGGGAAGACTCAGAAGTATTACAATAAAGCATCATTAGAGTTTAAAATGATCATGTTATTATGGTTATGTTGGCATTTATAGATGAGTTTAAGATCAGTAAATTTAATGAAATGATCATGATTTAAGATATTCAATTATATGGCAATGATGTGGTTGTATAGTGTGTGTTATGTAATCCTTCCTGTATACCTCAGGTTACAGGGTGTGTGTGTGTGTGTGTGTGTGTGTATAGCTATGAAGAGGTTTATTGTGCACATACATTTGAAGGTCAAATACATCTGCTGTGGTATCAAGTTATAATCTCCTGAGTAGATAACCTGCAGCATAATATTCCCAGTATGTATCTATCTCTCAAATGAGATCACAAACTATAATGTTCATTACCAATTAATACATAAAACATTGTAATTACATTCTTTGCTTGTTGACTCGTATTTCATATTATGATAAATGGATCTGTACTTGTATAGTGCCGCTCTATTCTTCTGACCACTCGAAGCACTTTTACACTACAGCCACATTCACACACATTCACACACATTCACACACAACCATCTGATTAGTTAACGCCCCGCTCTTGCTCTGAGACACAGCTGATCCCATGATTTGGCAAATAACCAGGCCAGGGTGTGTCTGTTATGTCAAACAGTAAATATAGAGACTCAACGTAAGAAAGTTCAGCCGATAAGATTCAACAAGAGGCCAGAGTAAATTATAGTCTCATATACGTGTATAAAGTCTGTCATAAAATGATGTCTTTAGTGCACTCCGCAGTGGGGGTGAAACTAAATGTATGTGTATAGTATTTGTATGATAATGATGTTAACTCTACATGTTAATGTAAAACTCATGACTCAGATTTCACCCCGTTCTACAAAAATAGTTTTCAAAAACTTCCATCAATAGACTATTTACACAAATAAGGATATCTTTAGGCTGTATGATACATTTACAACTATATTATAATTCAAACTGTACAGTCAAACAGGATGTCATTGTAGTTACACTGACCTCACCAGAAGAGACAACCGGCGCCTTTAACCTTCATGGACTTTTGAAGATGGCTGACTTTTGTATTGCTAGTGTGTGACAAAGGATGACAAAGAAATAAAGTTGTCATGTTTATTAAACTCTGTTGTTGGATTGTGTGCTGAGAGAACCCTCGGTAGTAGTGAGACTTGATACAAACAAGATTAAACAAGTTATTTTTCGGTTCTACAGTTTGTTAAACCAGATGCTTAACATGTGTGAAAAAGTTCATTCTCACCTTAAAAGTAGTAGTTTGACACTAAATTGGGGATTTCACTTGTATTTCATGGTCTTCATCAGCAGATAGAGTTTACTCAGGTGTCCTGGAGAGGTTTTTAGTTGCACCAAATAACTCAAAGTGACTTTCTTCTTTCAGACTTGATCTGTTCTCTGGTTGGAGGATCAGGGATCAGAGACCTCCATCATGGCTATCGCTGACCAGCTGCTGGAGCAGATGTTCTTCTGGCTCGAGCAGAGGGAGCGCTGTGCAGAGAAGCTGAGGAAATTGGCCAAAGAGCTGGAGTCACTCAGGGAGAAATGCAACATCAGGGAATGTGTTGGAAGCACATCATTGGTGGTTGGATCTGCATGTTTGTTTGCAACCGGTGTGGCCACTTTGTTCACCGGTGGTGCAGCTGCTCCACTTTTAGTTACAACAGGAGCAGTGTTTTCAGGTGCAGGTGTCACCATATCTGTGACTTCTAAAATCATTGAGCACTTCTCATCCAGCAAAACCATGAAAGAGGCGCAGAGGATAGAAGAGATGAGCAACGAGGTTGCAGAAGAAATCCAGAGACTGTTTGATGAACTGAGGGCAAACAGTTCCTCTGCAGATCCGGATGAAGTGGACCGACACGTCTTCACTGAAATTCTGAGAGCCATGGCCAGAAGAAGAGGACTGCAGGGGCAGATCAATATCAACAGGGTTAATAACCAGCTGCAGGTTTCTTTTGATACAGGACCAGGAAACACAAGGCTCAACCAGGCCCTCTTAAACCGTGAAACAATAGTTGGAGTTGCTATTATTTTAACATTTTTCTCATTTAAGCTTAGTGGGACACAATTTAGACGCTTTGTTACTGAAGGAGCTAAACAACTGATCAAACAAATAAGTACATTTAGTGTTATAAGACTGGACCGGATCGTCAAATCTGGTGCAAAAAAACTCCTCAAAAAAATCCCTTCAAAAGTTCTTAAAGGAGGTGTCATGGTACGAGTCTGTCATTGTTTCATTATCACACAAAATAAAGCAATTTATGGTTGATAATTACTGGTTTATTGTGTTGTACATTGCTTGAGGCTGACAATATTGAATATGAATCCTGTATTGATCCATCAGGTTGTGGGAGGAGCTGTTGGACTGGCGATTGAACTTCCTGAAGCGATTGAAGACTGGAAAGAGCTGATTGAGAACAATCATGTGACTGAAGCCAGCCAATCACTGAGAGATACAGCTGACGCCATTCTAGAGACCTGCCAGACGCTGAGGGAACGGTTTGACAGAATCAGGTATAAAGTTAACAAATTACAACCTCTTACCACCCACTAAGTTCTATTAGTGACTGACGACCAGTACTCAAATTACTTTTCTTAGAGTTACTAAAGCTAGAAAAACTGATTGATTGATGATTCATTGATAGTTTTTTCTTGCTCTTGCCAAGAAACAAAGATACATAAGCGTAAGAAACCATTTCAAATACAGAAGACAATATTCGGGGCCCTGCAACATGTGTTAGATATGGGATTAAGCTCCATATTGAGCGCCCGAGCAGCTCGAACCTAATTAGCAATAGATCCACATTTTTGGCAGCGTAAATTTGCTACCAAACTCATGAAATGCGGTCAGCAAAATGTACATATTATGAACCCAACATAAAGCCAGTCATTTTGAAATGAATGTGCAACTTTGCTGCCATTTGGTCGGGTGTTGCATTGTAACAAACTCATCCTAGAATATTGATCAGACTGACTTTGAATTGAATCAGTACGCTCTAGAGACACATAGGATTGAAGCATTGCGTCCCTGGCATGGTGACAAGAGTCTCATGCAAATATTTAGTCAGACTCGTAGCGCTGCCTGCTGGAAACAGGAAGTAAGCCTTGTATGGAGAACATTATCTGATTTATGTTACATAACACGACTGCGAGGGCCGTTCATTGCTGTTTGCAGCTTTAATTCATTTTAGGATGAACCTGAGCAGAAAGGAGTGCTTCAGTGTAACCTGGAGGCTCATATAACATATCTCTGGTTTGAGGGTAACAATTTGTAGTCACTGTTCAGGAGAGACGATACTGCCTTCATATATTATTATTATTATTATTATTATTATTATAGGCTGATTCAGAGTTTCTCAGAGGTTGACCTTCAAAAACAAGATTTTTATTTGGTGGAGCAGTTTTGACAAACGTTTCATGTCAATACGTCACTGTACAACAGGCATAATCGTAGAAATATAAAGCTGCACGCAGCAACGATCAGGTCCCAGTTGTGTTATGGGACAGCATTCATGTGTAAATGACACAGAAATCAGATCACAATCGGCAAATAAGGCTTACTTCCTGTTTCCAGTTGAGGACACTATGAGTATGACATGTAGATGTGTTCAGGGCGGCACTCTTATCAAATGTGCATTTTATTGCAGATTAGACATTAGTACACTGAAGTTATGAGGACATCTTCTTTCATGGAGAAATTTCAATTTGACACCGTTTAACACACATTCACAAGGAGAACAACTTTTAATCATGATGGTTTATAGACTGCACTGATCAAATCTGAAGTTGATCCGATCAATTCCCTCGGAGTTTGTTCAAATACAACGCCTGCAAATCGCCAAAACTGACTGAAATTCAATATGGCCGACTCCCTGTACGGTTTACGGTATGAGTCCAAGAGGCCCTGGTCATGATACACGTGCATGCAAGACAAATAGAATATTTACACTTTGACACGTTTCTTACGTTTTTGAGCATGTTGCGACATCCAAAAATGTGATTAATAGTGGAATAAAATAACCCGAGCAGTGTAGGGTTCTCTTCCTGAAAGATAAAATAAATTATTTTAGTCTTTTTGCAAAAAGGTTCAATGTGGACTTTCCAGGATAACATGAAGCTGATCAATACACCTGCAGAGAGAGAGCTTCATTATGTTGGTGTAATTGGTTATGTGAATGTGACGTTGTTGAAGCCAGGATGAGAAGTGCTTGTAATGTTATCTGCTATTAATAATAAAGGTTTATAAAGATATAACTTTATAAATTATAACTTGCCACATTAGACACATTTTGACACTGAAGTTATTATTTAAATCTTTGCAACCATTGGTCCTGGGGCTTCTTGAATGATGCTAACTCTAAGTTCACTTGTCTCATTCACAGGCAGATGTTTGACGCGATGGCCGTACCTCACTAGGAAAAGGTTTCCAGATGGAAAACTGATCCATCTTCAGCAATCACAGAGACAACATTATAAGTTACAATCCAGCTCAAGACAAAGAATCGTGGTTTTAAGTTTATTTAAACCCACTTAGTGAAGGCAGTATTTCTGCTGGGTATCGTGTATTCCTTTGGTGACATCCAACTCTTGTTGTTGAGATTGAATGCATTTATTTTCACTGTGCAAGCAACCTGACAAGACAGTCGAGCTTCAAAATTATATTATCTGTTTCACTGGGGAAGTGGCAGTTATGGTAAAAAATTATACATGTGTTTGTCAGGAAGCTGTAATTGATCAATACAAGTGTGACTAACGTTATCTTTTTATTATCTTTATAAACGTTTCATATATTTCCTATAGGGACAACTAACACATTCATTAAATTATCTTCATGTTATTGCACCATCAGTTGCTAGGCAGAGTTGAGCTGTAACACAAACTGCAAAGTGAAGAGGAGGGACGACATTTCATTCTTAACTTTCATCCATTTCTGGGAACACAATGTGCAGAAATGTATCCATGAAATGTGTAAAAGAAATCTAAATTACAGTGACATTTGGTGTTAAATTATTATTATTATGTGTGACACAAAGTCTTAACCAGTTAACCTGCTTCCAGTTTCTGTCCTTTCTAAGTTGCTAAATGCAATAAAACTTCTATTTTCTTGTCATTGGTGTGTCTTTATTATGTACATGTTCCTAAAGGTAGCCCAGTGTTTTAAAAATATAATAACTTATTTTAAACAAACAGTATAGTTGTTAAATCCAATGCATGTGATGGAGTATATGTTAGTGTGTGTGTGTGTGTGCACACGTACTGTAACACAGTTACACCTTTCAGCTTCATTTTAAACACTGAACATTTTAGCATCACCTGTTAATCTGTGGATTTAATTCTCAGTTAGCGTTAGTGTGTAACTGATGAATGTATAAGTCAGCCACCACAAACATTTTTATGACCAACTTTAATTAATTCAATCATTTCTTCATTTTCATTCTTTAGTTTCAGAAATCTGCTTCAGTTTTAGCTCGATAAAATAATAATATTTAATTATGGGACCTGATCAGAAAGGTTTGTGCATATTAATTACATTAGTAAATATATAACTAAAGTTTAGCAATTAAAATGAATGAAAGCGCCACTGTAGGTCGATAAGGGACAGTGAATCAACATAAAACCAGACAGAATCTGCCATTTAACTCTTTCATATATTCATTATTACTATAAAGCTTGAATTTCATTCCGAAAGCCTCAAATATATATAGCTATATATTTATATAAAATATAAATACACTAACTGTTACTCACATTATTTGAACTAAATATTGTTTTTGTTACAAAAACTGCAGGTTACCTCCAACATAAATCAAATTACTGCCATAAAAGACACTGCAGATGAAACCTTTCATATAGAACAGCAGACATTTTAGTTTAAATATATCCAGTGATGCGTGAATTCAATTTAGTGAACACGTGATTAATATTTAATTTACCTGCAGGGTCTCCTACTGTAGAAGGATTGGACACATATTCCTGAGCTGCTCTCCAGTCAGCCATCTTCTTTTTTTTAAGTAATTTGTGTTGCACTAACAATAGCTGGCCAGTGGGTGGCGGCGTATGGGATGATGATGTATGTACAAGCAAACAGCTTTTGAATAGCTGTCCACTGGAGCGAGCTGTACGTGTGAAAGGAGAATCATTTTTGTTTAGTTAAAAATGAATAAAGTAAGATCTACAGAGGAAATGGACTGCAGGTGTTATTACAAAGGAAGAACTAGGGACCTACAGCTGTATGCAAAGGTTTGGGCACTCCTTGATAAATAACTGATTTAGGTAATTATTTTAATTGAAAAGATGTAAACAACCTCTCTGGATATGGAACATATAATACATTTTACTAGCAGCTAAAAGTCGTCACTTCTTATATTTGGGATTTTTTTCACATTAATTGCAAATCTTTTAAGATCTACCATCAGATTTTTAAATGATAACATTTAAAGGACTGTGAGGGCCGTTCCATAGTTTGCAATGTTATCTTCCTCCATCTTAATTACCACCATGAAGACATCCATGACCACAATCTGGTTTTAATTTTTTAATTATTCAATTTTATTGTCTGTGCTGTTTGTGTTATGATTGTATCAATATAGTCAGTACATGACCTTATAATACAGTACATTATACATTATATGACTTTATATTATTATTGTTAGTTTGTCTAAAGAGCTGTGATAAAGGAAATAAAGGAGTGGAGCAGTTGATTGAATTTGTGATTCTATTAATTACTGTATAGCTCTGTGGATTATATTACCATTACCATGTTCAATACAGTTCATTTAATAACATTACACACTATTGTCACATGTTCTCAAACACTCATGTCTGAATGAAGCTTCAGAGGGTTGTCAGTTTAACAAACACACTGGTGAAGTCTGCCCATGTGACAAAAAGTACTGATAGTTGATGCAGACAGAGCTTGGACTCCATTATCCGTTAATGTAGCAGGTGGCTGTGGCTCAGAGGCAGAGCACTGCACGTCGAAGTATCCTTGAGCAAGATACTGAACCCTAACTTGCTGTGCATCGGTGTGTGACGATGAAGAGGAGAAAGGCATGATACAAGTTTGACGGAGACAGACTTGGATTTAACCTTTTTAAACAAACTGCAGTTAATGACAGATATATTCTATATCTTTCTAAACCAGATTTTCTATTCTTCCCTCCTTTTGAATTGTTTTGCCTGTTCATCTTTGATCCTTTTCTTTCTTAGTTTCCTCCCTCTTATCTTTTGAAACTGGCCTTGCTTTGAAATCTACAGTGTAATGATCTGATATTCCGTCGTTCCTGACAACAAGACCAGAGATTTCAACATTTCTGGTGAGGACCAGATCCAGAGTGTGACCTCCCTCGTGTGTGGGCTCCCGTACGTGCTGTTCGAGGTTGTAGATTGGCCAAATATGATAAAACTCATCAGTGAAAGACCTCCTTTCCTGATCGACCCAGATATTGAAATCTCCTGTCACAATGAGGCTGTTGTAGTTGTTGAAATGAGCCAAGAGCGTTTCAAACTCATCCAGAAATGTACGGAACTGGTCCCTGTTGTACCCCGGTGGGTGATACACATTGATGACAGGGACCGGCTGGTTCCACTCATCATGATGCAGAACTGTGACAACACATTCAAAGGTTGTTAAGGAGTCAAAAGGAATGTTTTCACCCTGCAGCTCCTGTGAGAACTGATTCGCTACCCCTCCTCCCCTTTGACCAACCCTCACCTGATAATAGTAATGGTAATTCTGTGGCGAAACCTCCCTGAGGACTCTGTCTGCATTGTCTTCTCGTAACCACGTCTCTGTTGTGAGGAAGACGTCCAGGTTGTTTTGAGTTATGAGCTCTAAGATCCTGGATCGGCTGTTATTCATTGAGCGAACATTAAGTAACCCCACTCTTATAGTTCCAGGAGGTGTCTGGATGGTTCTCTGCTCTTGGTCAATACAACTATCCTGACACTGTCTGACCACTTCCTCACTGTCTCCTCTTTGTTTACTTCGAGTGCCCTTCTTTCGATTACGCTTTCTCCTTTTTCTACCAGTCTTCTTGCTTTCATCTTCCTCTGACTCTTCCTCGCTATCAGTTTCTTCATCCTCCTGATCACTCTCCTCATCTTCATCATCACTCTCCTTATCTCCCTGATCATCCCCTCCCTGCTGACCACTTCCTGTCTCTTTATTTTGCTGACTTTCTCTCTCTTGTCCACGTCCGGTCTGCTCAGTTTGATGACCTTCTCGTTCATTCTGGTGTCTCTGATCTGTTGGAGATGAAGTCTGCTGGTTTCCACTCTGGTCCTGAGCTGGATTTGAACTCATAAATAGGTGCTTGTTTAGTGGCTCTCGCTTTTCTTTACAGCCTTGTTGAATGTTTTTCTCTCTGGAAACATTCTTGTCTTCTTTCCTGTGAGTAATATAGGCAAATATACAGTTAGCATGATTCAAGAAACCCTAGCATCACTGGTGGCCAACAAGAAAAATATGCAATGAAAATAGACGTACTTAAATACGGAAGCCCTAAAGGGCCATGTATTCATACATTTTATTTCCTCCGTTTTCCTGTGATAACAAGTTAATTATCTCGAGATCTAGAGATAACGACTGTGATATGATAACTGCGGTCAAACCAGCCGTTATCTCCGTGGTCAAATCAGCCGCACTTAAATTTACAGCGTATTCACTTCCGGTTTTCAAAATAAAGGTATTAAGAACAGTAAGCTATAATTCGAACCTATATTTAAAATAAAATATGTTACATTAACATACTTAATATCAAGCATTTCTACTGCACCAATGTGAAGAAATGCCAAAACAAAAGTTCCAGGTAACACTTTATAATGAGTACACACTATTAAGCATTAGTTAAGCATGAATAAATACTGAATTCATCATTTATAACGCATGAATACACATTAGTACCTAGTTTATAAACACAGTTAAAAATGTTTTGTTCATCATTGATAAGCACATTAGTTATGGATTAGTAAATACTGAATTCATCATTTATAAAGCATGATTCTGCTGTAAATAGTCATTACTATGTGGTTTATAATCACAGTTATAAATGTTTTACTCTTTATTGTACTGTACATTTCTGCATGCACTTGCACATCCACTTTTCAGACATGTATTAATGAGTAGTGACTGTGTTAGCAGATGTTCTATAAAAACTCACAACAAATTCATTTTCTAATGATGGCCTATAAACAGTTATTAATGCAGGAATTCACAGTTACAAAGCACTGCCTCAAGACTCACAAAATGTTCAGTTATCTTAACAGACGAAGGAGAGACACAACACAAAGGGATATAGAACATATTGTGTTGATATTTATTGCAACTTCCCAACATATTGTATGAAGACGAACAAGGGTGGTTTATGAAGACATGCTATTGTTGTGATCTTATCTGTTTGGGACGTGTACGTTGAGCTCCCGCTCTCAGCACGTCATCAACGTGATGACGTGCTGAGAGCGGGATGTTACGTCATATTTACGTTAACTCTCAGAAGTTTCTGACAGTGCAGCCCAGGGGAGCATGGAGAAGCACATTGGAGTCGGCGGCCGTCAGCGGCTCTAGAGGTGAGTATGTGTCTTTGTTTGGTAGCACACATTATGGTTGAAAGCTAACTTAGCTTGTCACTTGACAGTGCTTTGTAACTGTGAATTCCTGCATTAATAACTGTTTATAGGCCATCATTAGAAAATGAATTTATTGTGAGTTTTTATAGAACATCTGCTAACACAGTCACTAATCATTAATACATGTCTGAATAGTGGATGTGCAAATGCATGCAGAAATGTACAGTACAATGAAGAGTAAAACATTTATAACTGTGATTATAAACCACATAGTAATGACTATTTACAGCAGAAACATGCTTTATAAATGATGAATTCAGTATTTACCAATCCATAACTAATGTGCTTATCAATGATGAATAAACGGATGAAATTACGACCAAAAGGGGGTGTGTCTCAGAGAAATGTCGTGAGATAGCTGCAAGATTTACACTTTCCAACTCGGGCTGGGCAGGCAGTTCTGACATGCGCAGCTTTGTCTGCACATATGTCATGCTCTCTCTGCTGGGGTAAAAATGGGTAAAAGGTAATCAGCATACTCACCATACGCTGGCCATCCTAGGGACTGCTTCTTGCTGAGGTACAACATGCCGTGAAGTAAGGAGCCCATGGACTCCTAGCTGTTTGGGCACTGGATGGACTGGTGTAATCAATGACTGGAGACCATGAGTAGAGGCTGCTTGTGAAGGGGCAGTTTGGGCCTGAACAGAAATGGGTCTAGAGCCGACTGGTAGGACTGACTTTGGCTGTGTCTTCTGCATAGGTGTCAGGTCCCCCTGTGGTTCTTGCTGAGGTACAACATGCCGTGAAGTCAGGAGCCCATGGACTCCTAGCTGTTTGGGTACTGGATGGACTGGTGTAATCAATGACTGGAGACCATGAGTAGAGGCTGCTTGTGAAGGGGCAGTTTGGGCCTGAACAGAAATGGGTCTAAAGCCGACTGCCAGGACTGACTTTGGCTGCGTCTTCTGCATAGTGGTCATGTCTCCCTGTGCTGCTTGCTGAGGTACAACATGCCGTGAAGTAAGGAGCCCATGGACTCCGAGCTGTTTGGGCACTGGATGGACTGGTGTAATCAATGACTGGAGACCATGAGTAGAGGCTGCTTGTGAAGGGGCAGTTTGGGCCTGAACAGAAATGGGTCTAGAGCTGACTGGTAGGACTGACTTTGGCTGTGTCTTCTGCATAGGTGTCAGGTCCCCCTGTGGTTCTTGCTGAGGTACAACATGCCGTGAAGTAAGGAGCCCATGGACTCCTAGCTGTTTGGGTACTGGATGGACTGGTGTAACCAATGACTGGAGACCATGAGTAGAGGCTGCTTGTGAAGGGGCAGTTTGGGCCTGAACAGAAATGGGTCTAAAGCCGACTGCCAGGACTGACTTTGGCTGCGTCTTCTGCATAGTGGTCATGTCTCCCTGTGCTGCTTGCTGAGGTACAACATGCCGTGAAGTAAGGAGCCCATGGACTCCGAGCTGTTTGGGCACTGGATGGACTGGTGTAATCAATGACTGGAGACCATGAGTAGAGGCTGCTTGTGAAGGGGCAGTTTGGGCCTGAACAGAAATGGGTCTAGAGCCGACTGCAAAGTCTGACTTTGGCTGCGTCTGCTGCATAGGTGTCAAGTCTCCCTGTGGTTCTTGCTGAGGTACAACATGCCGTGAAGTAAGGAGCCCATGGACTCCTAGCTGTTTGGTTACTGGATAGACTGGTGTAATCAATGACTGGAGACCATGAGTAGAGGCTGCTTGTGAAGGGGCAGTTTGAGCGTGAGCATAAACGGGCTTAGAGCCGACTGCAAAGTCTGACTTTGGCTGCGTCTGCTGCATAGGTATCACGTCTCCCTGTGGTTCTTGCTGAGGTACAACATGCCGTGAAGTAAGGAGCCCATGGACTCCTAGCTGTTTGGGCACTGGATAGACTGGTGAAATCAATGACTGGAGACCATGAGTAGAGGCTGCTTGTGAAGGAGGAGTTTGAGCCTGAGCAGAAATGGGTCTAGAGCTGACTGGTAGGACTGACTTTGGCTGTGTCTTCTGCATAGGTGTCAGGTCCCCCTGTGGTTCTTGCTGAGGTACAACATGCCGTGAAGTAAGGAGCCCATGGACTCCTAGCTGTTTGGGCACTGGATGGACTGGTGTAATCAATGACTGGAGACCATGAGTAGAGGCTGCTTGTGAAGGGGCAGTTTGAGCCTGAGCAGAAATGGGTCTAGAGCCGACTGCCAGGACTGACTTTGGCTGCGTCTTCTGCATAGTGGTCATGTCTCCCTGTGCTGCTTGCTGAGGTACAACATGCCGTGAAGTAAGGAGCCCATGGACTCCGAGCTGTTTGGGCACTGGATAGACTGGTGTAATCAATGACTGGAGACCATGAGTAAAGGCTGCTTGTGAAGGGGGAGTTTGAGCGTGAGCAGAAATGGGTCTAGAGCTGACTGCCAGGACGGAATTTTGCTGCGTCTGTTGCATAGGTGTCAGGTCCCCCTGTGGTTCTTGCTGAGGTACAACATGCCGTGAAGTAAGGAGCCCATGGACTCCTAGCTGTTTGGGCACTGGATAGACTGGTGTAATCAATGACTGGAGACCATGAGTAGAGGCTGCTTGTGAAGGGGCAGTTTGAGCGTGAGCATAAACGGGCTTAGAGCTGACTGCAAAGTTTGACTTTGGCTGCGTCTGCTGCATAGGTATCACGTCTCCCTGTGGTTCTTGCTGAGGTACAACATGCCGTGAAGTAAGGAGCCCATGGACTCCTAGCTGTTTGGGCACTGGATAGACTGGTGAAATCAATGACTGGAGACCATGAGTAAAGGCTGCTTGTGAAGGGGGAGTTTGAGCCTGAGCATAAATGGGTCTAGAGCGGACTGCCAGGACGGAATTTGGCAGCGTGTGTTGCATAGGTGTCGGGTCCCCCTGTGGTTCTGGCTGAGGTACAACATGCCATGAAGTAAGGAGCCCATGGACTCCTAGCTGTTTGGGCACTGGATAGACTGGTGAAATCAATGACTGGAGACCATGAGTAAAGGCTGCTTGTGAAGGGGGAGTTTGAGCCTGAGCATAAATGGGTCTAGAGCGGACTGCCAGGACGGAATTTGGCTGCGTCTGTTGCATAGTTGTCGGGTCCCCCTGTGGTTCTGGCTGACGTATAACATGCCGTGAAGTAAGGACCTCAGGGACTCCTAGCTGTTTGGGCACTGGATAGACTGGTGTAATCAAAGACTGGAAACCATGAGTAGAGGCTGCTTGATCAGTGGGAGGTTGAGCCCATGATGTAAAGGGTTGTAACCCTACTGCCAGGACTGATTTTTGCCATGTCTGCTGCATAGGTGTCATGTCACAATGTGCTGCTTGCTGAGGTACAACATGCTGTGAAGTAAGTTCTCTTTTACTCTTAGCCATCTCTTCAAACATCCTCCTGTGACAAGTGAACACACAGTTAGCATGATTCAAGAAACCACAAAGTGCAACAAGCTAATTTTACGCTAAAATAAGATCCACGTAAAACACTAAGTCATAATTTGTGTATGGTGAAACAACTGGTCATAGGACATTTTTACAGCTTTGTGGATGTTAAGAGGTTGTTATTTGTTGCAAATCACTGTTTGGAGTAAGACAACTAGTCAGTATTTGAATCCAGTCTAAGTGACATGAATCCAAACCAAGTCCAGCTGCTGTTCTCAGATCTACAGGAGGACAGTTTCTGGGTGGCCAATCACAGAAAACTTCATACCTGATGTTGTCAAACTGTTCCCTGAGTGTCCGGCAGGTGTCTAGAATGGCGTCAGCTGTATCTCTCAGTGATTGGCTGGCTTTAGTCACATGATTCTTTTCGATCAGGTCTTTCCAGTTGTCGATCGCCTCAGGAAGTTCAAACGCCAGTCCGACAGCTCCTCCCACAACCTGATCATGAATATGGATCAATACGTGATTCATTTTCAATATTATCAGACTGTCCGCCTCAAGGAAAACACATGTGACTCTGACTGTAATTTTTATCCTTTATATGTTTTAATCTGGAAAGCATGAAGCTTGAAAAGTTCTTTACAAGTAAAATAATAATTGCTACTCTTATTTAACTCTAAAAAAGGAAACAATGCTTTGTATAGTTACTGACTCTTACCTTGGCTCCTCCTTTAAGGACGTTTTTAAACCCAGTTTTAGCCACTTGTTTGATCAGTTCATTGGCTCCTTTATCAAGCAAATGTTTAAATTCATTCCCAACAGTTTTCAATGTGAAAAAACTTAAAATACCAGCAAGTCCAATTGTCAGTTCAGAATTTGAGAAGCTCTGGGTAAACCTCATGGGTATATTATCAAAAAAAGTCTGGGTGTTTATTTGCCCCTCCAGTCCATTGCGTCTGGCCATGGCTCTCAGAATTTCAGTCATCACGTGTCGGTCCACTTCATCCGGATCTGCAGAGGAACTGTTCGCCCTCAGTCTCTCAAACAGTCTCTGGATTTCTTCTGCAACCTCGTTGCTCTTCTCTTCTATCCTCTGCGCATCTTTCATGGTGTCGCTGGATGAGAAACCCTCAATGATTTTAGAAGCCACAGATATGGTGACACCTGTACCTGAAAACACTGCTCCTGCCACACCTAAAAGTGGAGCAGCTGCTCCGCCGGTGAAAAATGTGGCCATGCCGGCCCCGATCAGAGATAATGCTCCAACCACAGCATATGTGCTTCCAACACATTCTGCAGCATTACACTTCTGCCTGAGTAACTCCAGCTCCTTGGCCAGTTTCCTCAGTTTCTCTGCACAGCGCTCCCTCTGCTCGAGCCAGGAGAACATCTGCTCCAGCAGCTGGTCAGCGATAGCCATGATGGAGGTCTCTGATCCCTGATCCTTCAACCAGAGACCAGAAAACTGAGATCAAATCTGAAAGAAGAAAGTCACTTTGAGTTATTTGGTGCAACTAAAAACATCTCCATGACACTCTATCTGCTGATGAAGAGTTTAATTTTCTTTGTTTAATATTTTTAAGGTTTTGTTTAAATGTTGTTGTTGAAGTGACAGATAACAATGAGTGCCACTAATTGTGTCAAATTAGTGTAATTCACTAAAACTTATGAAATAAAGTTAATTAAAAGTATCATCATTGTTACTATTATAGTCAATAGAGACTTCTGCCCTGTATCTACAGCGCTGAGTTCTGCCCTGTTTCTACAGCGCTGACTTCTGCCCTGTATCTGTCCTCTCCTCTGCAACTTAAGTATTATTGTCAAATGGACTCAAATTGTTATAAACAGTTTCTAAAAGACAATTAATGTCAAACCCACATCTGCAGAGCTCTCAACCAACCCATTACTCACAATTATCTCCAAGTCAAATCCAGACCCAACCCGTTAATATGTTCTTATGTAATTCTGTTTATTGTTTTCATGTGTAATGTTAATGATCATTATTTAATTATATTATTAAGTACTCTGGTCTTACTGTCAGGAGTCATTGTCATTGTTTTCTCACCCTCTACCACTTTATCTGTTGTTCTTTTTATGTCCCTGGTTTGATTTGAACTTGTATATATATATATATATATCTATCTATCTATATATCTATCTCTTTATAAATAAAGAGAAAAATAGAAAAAAATCTGATATCAAATGAAGTTATGCAATTTAAATGGAAACATTTAATTTAAAAATAATAAATAATACAAAAATTACAGTAATCCTCACATGACTGAGGCAGCCACAGTTTTTACAGATTGCAGGGACTACGGGCTTGATAGGAAACGCCTGATCAAAGAGCTCACTGGTTCTTTTTGACCACAAACACCCCATTCTCCTAACTTTCTGTGTGATTTTAATATTTACCTGTAGATTGTAGCTGTTTCTTCTCTCATGAAGATTTAATCTGTTCACAAACACATCCTGTGTGGTTGATAACAATAATAATAATAAGAATAATAATATATTTATATATATTTGAATATGGTCTAAAAACTACAGGCAGCCTACAGATGATCTAACAGGATTTAAAACCTTCTGTGACTTCCTGTTTACACTTTGGAGAGTTTGGAAACTGTTGGAAAGTTTAAAGTCTGACTGACTGCAGCTTTTTGTTCCCTGTGGACAGAGGAGGTGAAAGTAGTTGTTAAAGTTTACCTGTGTGAGTAGATGCAGGTGTTCTTCCTCCAAAAGCCTTTACAACTCATCGCACAGTCTCCTTCTCTACATGCACTGCAGACCATCGACAGTGGTCACACTCACCGACTGACACTGTGCACTTCCTGTACTTCACAATAAAAGGCAGCTTGTGTTTCTCCAGACAGATGATTTTAATGTGAAGGTGATGCAGCAGGAAGCAGTTCGTATTAGCAGAAACTTTTGGAAGCATTTTTTCCCCCGGAAGTAAAGGCTGGACTTCCAGCTGACAGTCTGATTAATGACTTCAACTGTTATTGCCTGCTTTAAGACTGAATTACCTTCTTCTTCTTTGTGTTTGTTATTTATAATTAAAATTACAGCATTTATTTGTAGCAACTTTCATACATGAAATGAGCTCAAAGTGCTTTACAGTATGAATAAAAATACAAAGTTATGAGATAAAATGTCAAAATTATGACATGAAAGTCATCTGTAGTGGGAGAAACTAGTGTGAAAATTCACAGAAACAGAGGAGCTTATTCATCCAACTGTCAAACAACACATAAGGAGGCGGAACTTATCTTGGATATTTAAGATTTATTTGTTTTTTGGTACAGTTTATTATTCTCTGCGGCACAAATAAATAAAATATTATCACAACACAATACCCGTAATACCAGTAGTACATGAAGAATGGGGAGCATAGCATAGCATCACCAAACTCCATTCAGAAAACAAGCATTTTAAGTTTTTTGCACGTCATTTTGCACACAGACCCGACAAAGTATCAATTCAGACTTATTACAAATCAACATCATCATTATTTCAGCATCATTTTGATCCATTAATTGACATAAAATCACAGTTTATTTCTCATTCATACTGCCGCAGTAGATTAGATCAAGCCGACAGATTAAAGTGAGAATATTTGAAAATGGCGTTTTTGCAACAAATGACTCACACACACACACACACACACACACACACACACACACACACACACACACACACACACACACACACACACACAATAACATCTGACTGACTGATTCAAACAGCAAAAACACAGATGTGCTTTACACAAACACTGCTGCTGCCTGTGTGAACCTTTAATATTTCTCACACAGACTTCCTGTGCAGAACATCGACTCAAATCTCAATCAACACACAACAAACACAAAGAGAAGTAGAATTACTCTCTACTAAAATCCAGAGTCCATTAACAACTTAAACTGATGAATTGGTCTTCAATATGTATGTTTACTGTGTTTCCCAGTGATTGCATATATAAAGTGTCTAAATGTCAGAAAGTAGAGTCAGTAGAGTCAAAGAAGTTTTGATGATCTGCTTTAAGCATTGACTTTCAGTGTGTAAGTGATCAGCAAAACCTTTAAGCCAGAGACCATTTCTATTCTTCTCTCTTATTGAACTGTTTATCCTGCTCATCTCTCTTTGTATCTCGTGAAACTGGCCTTGCATTGAAATATACGGTGTAATGATCAGATATTTTGTCATCCCAGACAACAAGATTAGAGACTTCAACGTTTCTGGTGATGACCAGATCCAGAGTGTGACCTGCCCGTTGTGTCGGCTCCCGTACGTGCTGCTCGAGGTCGTAGATCGGCAAAATATGATCAAACTCATCAGTGAAGGACCTCTTTTTCTGATCGACCCAGATATTGAAATCTCCGGTTACAACGATGCTGTTGTAGTTGTTGAAATTAGCCAAGAGGTTTTGAAACTCATTCAGGAAGGCTTTAAATTTGGCCTTGTCGTACCCTGGTGGGTAATACACGTTGATGAATGGGACCCACTGGTTCCACTCATCATGATGCAGAACTGTGACAACACATTCGAAGGTTGTTAAGAAGTTCAAATGTATTTGTTCACCCTGCAGCTCTGGTGAGAACTGAATCGCTACCCCACCTCCTTTCTTTGGACGAACCCTATTCTGATAATAGTAATGGTAATTAGGTGGCGAGGCCTCCTTGAGGACTGTGGCGGCATTGTTGTCTTGTAACCACGTCTCTGTTGTGAGGAAGACGTTCAGGTTGTTTTTTGTTATGAGCTCTAAGATCCTGGATATCTTGTTATTCATTGAACGAACATTAAGTAACCCAACTTTAATTGTTCCAGGAGGTGTCTGGGTGTTCTCGAAATGTAGTTTTCTTTTCTCATTCAAGATGTTGATATTGTATTGGTCCTCACTCGGCTCATAGTCCTCACTCGGGTCATAGTCCTCACTCGGGTCATAGTCCTCACTCGGCTCATAGTCCTCACTCGGCTCATAGTCCTCACTCGTCTCATAGTACGGATCCCTGTGCCTATCGTCACTATCTGTCTCCTTATCTCCCTGATCACCCCCTCCCTGCTGATCACTTCCTGTTCCACCTTCTTGTTCATCCTCGTGTCTTTGATCTGTTTGAGATTCAGCAGAAGTCTGCTGGTTTCCACTCTGGTCCCGAGCTGGATTTGAACTCTTGTTTTCCTCGTGTTCTCGTTGACTTTTATCCACCACTTCAATTATCTTCCTGTGAATAATACAAGTGAGAATACAGCATCAATACCCAAAGATCAATGGTGGCTGAAAAACTAATTTTAAACTAAAATGAGATTTCTATGACACCCGACGTCTGACTCTTACCACTGACCTAACCATCATGTGCACTGATTGTTAGTGTAAGGTTAGCCAGAGCTAGACTAGCAGTCGTAAGATAAAGCCAATAGTCAACTAGTCATCATGTTTCAGATATTACTGTATCATTATTATATTAACAGCTAAACTCTAACAGAAACAGCAGTAATGATTGTGAATCTGAACCAGCAGCAAGGAGACTGAACCTTTAGTTCCTTTATTCCAACACAGTGTAACATCACACAGTCTGGTTGTTCAACACTCGGAATAAATAACTTCCAACTTCACTGAAACTGTTCCTGACTGATGGATACGATGGATGATTGATAACGTTAACAGTTACTCACTAATTAACTGGCTACAAACTGGCTCCTCTTCCTCTGTTTCATTCCTCTCCTGCTCTGGTTCTGTGTCTCATTCGGGCCCTGCTGGGTCAGACAGCTAACAGGACAGCTAACTAGCTAATAGCAGCTAATACAGTTAGCATATGCAGCAGTAAGAGACTTACTGTGTCCGTACTCGGTATCGGCTGATAGACTAATTCTGTAGAGGTTGTTATAAGTTTTCACTAGTGTGTTGCTCAGTGGTTGCTGTGGGGTTCCACTACCAACTAGCTGGTAATAAGCTGTAATATTTAAATAAATGTGTTCTGTTTCTAATGTCTGTTTTATGAGAATCACAGAAAACTTCATACTTGATGTTGTCAAAATGTTCCTTCGGCTTCCGGCAGATCTTCAGAATGGCATCAGCTGTATCTCTCAGTGATTGGCTGGCTTCAGTCACACGATTCCTCTCGATCAGGTCTTTCCAGTAGTCGATCGCCTCAGGAAGTTCAAACAGCAGTCCAACAGCTCCTCCCACAAACTGATGATGAATATGAACAATACATGATTCATATTCAGTAATATCACCCTCAAAGGAAAACGGTTATCAAAATCACAAAAAATATTAATAATTCTATATAATGTTCTGTGTAATTTTCAGACAATGTGTGTGTATAGTTACTGAATCTTACTTTGTATTCTCCTTTCAGGAGTCCAGTTTTAGACATTTGTTCAATCAGTTGTTTAAGTCCATCTAACAGTTCGGGCTTCAGGTGGACACTGTTGATCACCAGCGATCGATCGTTATGCATGTGGATGGTGATCTCCCCCTCCACTTTACTTCGTCTGGCCATGGCTTTCAGAACCTCAGCCATAATGTGTCGGTCCACTTCATCCGGGTCTGTGGAGGAACTCTCCGTCTTCAGTCGCTCAAACAGTTTCTGGATTTCTTCTTGTATTTTTTTGCTCTTCTCTTCAATGTCCTGTGTCTCTTTCAAGGTGTCACTGGATTTGAAGCAGTCAGTGTTTGTGGTCTTGCGTTTCCTTCCAGATGGCTCCAACTCGTGGGCCAGAGTCCTCAGCTTCTCTGCACAGATCTCCCTCTGCTCGATCCAGGAGAACATCAGCTCCAGTAGCTGGTCAGCAGTGGCCATGATGGAGGTCTCTGTATCCTCCTGATCCTCCAGGTAAGAAAACTGATTAAATCTGAAAGAAGTCAGTCAGAGGACACTTTGAATTATTTGGTGCAACTAAAAACATCTCCATGACACCTGAGTAAACTAATGTCTAAAAAAATCATGTCTATTTTTATCATTTTCTCTTGTTTTAGATTTCATTGCAATGAATAAAAAGCTTTTAACATGCAATTTTTTAAATAAAAACTGCTGTGAAATCAGGAAAATGTATCCCAAGACATACTTAGATTATTGAACTGCTGGCACAGCTTCAACCACTGTACAACTGATTATACTCACATTGATGTCCAAACAATAAAAATCTACTCTGATGTCTTTATGCTGATATCAGTGCAGACCACATGTACCGAGGTGTGAGACCAAACATACAAATTATAGGAAAACATAATGATGATCGTCTTGTGAGTAATATTCAATGCCCTGTAAAATCCAGGTCAAATATCAGAGTTTTTAGGAGTCCCGAATTTGAAGTCTGAACTGTTTTTTTCTTTTATTCATAGCGACTCCATGTCTGGATTTATTTGCACCACTTCCTCATACCTTACTGCCTTAACCTTGGTGTAAACAGGAAGGGCAACAGAATAAAGCTGTGTCATTATACTGAAGATATTATGAACATGTTTTTGTGATCAGTTTATTGAGATTCAAACCCATTGATATAGAAATGGAGTTTGTTGAAGCACAGAGAAAGTAAATGAATGTCGTCTCAAGAGTCCGTTAACAGAAATGTAATCCACGAGCAGACAGAAAACGATACTTACACATTCTGAGCAGAACTACAGGAAGGATTTTAGACTTTATGAGCTGAGGAGTCTTTGTTTCTAAATATATGTTAAACAGAACAAAGATCTTCACAACCAAAGAGCAGAGTCACAATCCGTAAACTTCTCAGGTGGGTTAAATATACAGAAAGTGTTTTACTTTGAGATTTTTTTTATAAATTAAGATATTTACATGAGGAAAGGCGAAGACAGAAAGAGTTCCTTACCTCTTTCTGAAAGTTCAACGAAAGAAGAAGACAGTAAAGTCAAGCTGAGTTTGTTCCTCTGTCAGCCTGCAGCAGAATATCTTTTTACCTGCAGGTACAGGGGAGGAGCTCTTATGCATGTAACTTGAGTAGGTGTGGTCTGGGATCTTGGTAGGCAGTAATTCAATGGTTACTATTCACTAGTAGCTGAGACAACACTAGACTTCAGCTCTCCAACAGAGGGCAGTATTTTCTCCGGTTTCTCTTCATCGTCTTTCATCTTTGACTGAAGACTTCTGTGGAGAGGAAAACATTTTTTTGTCAGGTTTTACAGTTTGATTGAACCTTCTGCATCTGTGAGAAACGTGTACCCAACAGGATTTAGGCTTCAGTATGTCTGTGTCTTCCAAGGCTGTCATGTGACTCTATAACTATTGCTGTTCTCCCTGTACACCAACAGCTGCACCTCCAGTCACCAGTCCGTCAGGCTCCTGAAATTCGCGGATGACCCCTCCCTCATTGGGCTCATCTCTGGTGGAGATGAGTCCTCCTACTGATGGGAGATTGACCATCTGGTGACCTGGTGCAGCCAGAACAACCTGGAGCTAAGCCTACCATCATTACCCAGGACCTCAAGTGGAAGCTGAACATCAGGACCTGCACGCCTCTAGGACAATGAGGCGTGCAGGCAAGATTGTGGCTGACCCCTCCCACCCCAGACACAGACTTTTTGAAACACTTGACTCTGGCAGGAGGCTGCGGTCAATCAGGACCAAAACCTCTCACCACAAGAACAGCTTCTTTCCATCTGCAGCTGGTTTCATTAACAAGGCCCAGAACCCCCACTGACACCGACTTTTATACCTACCCTGTATATGTTCATTACATTAATGCACTCCTGTTGGTTTTTCTATCCTGCACATTGTAAATATCTTTCCTGTAGACTTAAATTTACATTTATTTGTATAAATAAGCAAACTTTATATGTAAGTTCTTGTTTATTTGAAACATCACTTTCATTCATTTAAAACTATTACTTGAGTATCTGTTGCAGGACATTCAATAAATATCTTTTAATTTGTCTATTTATTTTGAGAAACTTGATGAAGTCTGAATAAGATCAGATAATGACACCGTGGATAAAAGCAAAATAAAGAAAGCGATCCAAACAGCCTCAGACGGATTATTAAAAAGTCCAAATATGATGAAACAGCTTCTACAAAAATGAATAAATATTCCTGAATAAAAGTCTGTTACTTTTATCTTTCTGTTTTCTTTCTGTTGAATGTTGGAACCAGTGAATAAAAACAAGGAATCAAACTGTGAACTCTGTTTCTGTCTGGATTTTGCTCCATTTGTCTAGAAAGTTCTAACATAGACCAGAAAAACGTCATCAATGGATACTGATCAGACAATACAGGAAGTCGGAAATGAGTTGGCCTTCAAAATAAGTCAAAAATGTTTTGGGAGCTTCTTACTTACAGTGTTATTATTGAGATATATATCATTATATGTCAGTGTCCGGCCATATTGTACATGTTATCTCTCTTTTTATATTTGTATATACTGGCTCCTTTTATTGTCTCTATTTTAATCTTTATTTATATTTGTCTATGTTTAATTATTATGGAACATCTTAACAAGGCAAATTACTTGTCTGTGAAAACCCAGTTGGCAATAAACCTGATTCTGATTCTTTGTTTGAAAGTGGAAATATGGAAATAAAAACTAAATAAACAGCCTCAGAACGATAAACAGCTTCTACAAAAGTGAATAAATATTAATGAATAAAAGTTTATTTTATCTTTCTGTTTTCTTTCTGTTGAATGTTGGAACCAGTGAATAAAAACAATTAAATTAAACTATGAACTCAAAGTGTTGAAGTTTCTGGATTTTGCTCCATTTGTCTAGAAAGTTCTCACACTCCTTTTATTACGTAATCACACCGGAAACTAAAGCTGCACTCTGATTGGTCAGCGTTGCTAAGATACATTCAATGTTCCGGAACTAGAATGAGCTTGCCTTCAAAATAAGACAAAAATGTGTAAGTGACCCTCTTATTTAAGCAGTGTTATGACGCAAGATGCTTTTATTTTGAAATGTGCAACAGGAAGCTGTCTCTGCCACAGACTCCTACTTGATGGTGTGTGTGTGTGTGTGTGTGTGTGTGTGTGTGTGTGTGTGTGTGTGTGTGTGAAACGTCTAGAAGCAGCCAGACAGCTTCCACAGATATAAAGCTGCTGGTCGGAGAGCGGAGACAGCAACAGAAACAGATCAGACCGCAGCAGAAGATCCAGAGAGGAAGGAGAAGATCAATCCTCTTCACAACACAGACCACTCAGCACTCAACTGTAAGTCCAACACTCATTTCTCAAAGCTTCATGCTTTCATATCTGCTCCATTCATATCTGCGTTTTATTTTGAAGGGATGTAAGTAGAGCAAACTCTTTAGTTTTTAAATGTTTTCTTGAACACGAGAAGCTCAGAAAACATTTTCTGCTGCATTTTTACACAATTTGACTTAAAGTGAACAATATTGAACTAAACTAATGATGATAAATATGACTGTAGACTGTGACATCACCATCAGAAATACTTTATTGATCCTTTTATTGGGGGAAAATAAATTGACATCACAAGAAAATAGAAATAATAATAAAGAACTTTAAAATATGTGCATTATAGTACAAAATATAACAACAAAGTATAAAGAAATAGAAAATCAGACATGTAAAATATGTGTACTAACTGTTATATAACAGAAGTGTAATGAATCGTAATAATTAGTGTTGATAATGTTGAGCAGTGGATGAATAAGTGTGCTAATGAAGAGCAGAACAGTATAATGGCAGTATTAAGATGTGCTGTGAGTCAGTGCACATGTGCAGTAATGTGCTGATGTTTACTTCCTCCAACTTGTTTCTAAAATGTTGTTCAACTGTTTGACAGACGAGCGTCTCCAGTGAAAATGTCTGCAGCTAAAGGCGTAGCGATCGGCATCGACCTGGGCACCACCTACTCCTGTGTGGGGGTTTTCCAGCACGGAAAAGTAGAAATCATCGCCAACGACCAGGGCAACAGGACCACCCCCAGCTATGTGGCGTTCACCGACACCGAGAGGCTGATCGGGGACGCGGCCAAGAACCAGGTGGCTCTGAACCCCAGCAACACTGTGTTTGATGCCAAGAGACTGATTGGAAGAAAGTTGGATGATCCAGTGGTGCAGGCTGACATGAAGCACTGGCCCTTCAAGGTGGTTGGAGATGGAGGGAAGCCCAAAATCCAGGTGGAATACAAAGGGGAGGACAAAACCTTCTACCCCGAGGAGATCTCCTCCATGGTCCTCCTGAAGATGAAGGAGATCGCCGAAGCCTACCTCGGCCACCAGGTGTCCAACGCGGTCGTCACGGTCCCGGCGTACTTCAACGACTCCCAGCGACAGGCCACGAAAGACGCGGGCATCATCGCGGGACTGAACGTCCTGAGGATCATCAACGAGCCGACGGCGGCCGCCATCGCGTACGGTCTGGACAAAGGCAAGAGCGGAGAACGCAACGTCCTGATCTTTGACCTGGGCGGAGGCACCTTCGACGTGTCCATCCTGACCATCGAAGACGGCATCTTTGAGGTCAAAGCCACGGCCGGAGACACTCACCTGGGCGGGGAAGACTTTGACAACCGCATGGTCAACCACTTTGTGGAGGAATTCAAGAGGAAACACAAGAAGGACATCAGCCAGAACAAGAGAGCCTTGAGGAGGCTGCGCACAGCTTGTGAGAGGGCCAAGAGAACCCTGTCCTCCAGCTCCCAGGCCAGCATCGAGATTGATTCTCTGTTTGAGGGCATCGACTTCTACACCTCCATCACCAGGGCTCGCTTTGAGGAGCTGTGCTCCGACCTGTTCAGGGGAACGTTGGAGCCGGTGGAGAAAGCCCTGAGGGACGCCAAAATGGACAAGGTGCAGATCCACGACATCGTCCTGGTGGGAGGCTCCACCCGCATCCCCAAAATCCAGAAACTGCTGCAGGATTTCTTCAACGGCAGGGAGCTGAACAAGAGCATCAACCCAGATGAGGCGGTGGCTTACGGTGCTGCCGTCCAGGCCGCCATTCTCACGGGTGACACCTCTGGCAACGTTCAGGACCTGCTGCTGCTGGACGTAGCGCCTCTGTCCCTGGGTATCGAGACCGCGGGAGGAGTCATGACCTCCTTGATCAAACGCAACACCACCATCCCCACCAAACAGACCCAGACCTTCAGCACCTACACCGACAACCAGCCCGGGGTCCTGATCCAGGTCTACGAAGGGGAAAGAGCCATGACCAAGGACAACAACCTGCTGGGCAAGTTTGAGCTGACGGGAATCCCGCCCGCTCCACGAGGGGTCCCGCAGATCGAGGTCACCTTCGATGTGGACGCCAACGGCATTTTGAACGTGTCTGCGGTGGACAAAAGCACCGGCAAAGAGAACAAGATCACCATCACCAACGATAAGGGCCGTCTGAGCAAAGAAGAGATCGAGAGGATGGTGCAGGACGCCGACAGATACAAAGCCGAGGACGACCTTCAGAGGGAGAAGATCGCTGCCAAGAACTCCCTGGAGTCCTACGCCTTCAACATGAAGAGCAGCGTGCAGGACGAGAACCTGAAGGGCAAAATTAGTGAGGAGGACCAGAAGAAGGTGATTGAGAAGTGTGACGAGATCATCGGCTGGCTGGAGAACAACCAGCTGGCTGATAAAGAGGAGTACCAACACCAGCAGAAAGAGCTGGAGAAAGTGTGTAACCCCGTCATCAGCAAGTTGTATCAGGGAGGAATGCCCACTGGTAGCTGCAGAGAGCAGGCACGAGCCGGCTCCCAGGGGCCCACCATTGAGGAGGTGGACTAAAGTGGCCCTTCATATGGACTTATTTTAAATGTTTAATATAAAACTTTATACCTTATATTTTAGATTATGTCTATGTTCATGTGATTGAGAACTGGTTCTTTAATATGTTTAAATGTTGCATTGCTGGACTTTGCAATAAAGCTGATGGTGAATAAAGTTTTATGTGTCTCTTAGTTTCATCTTCATCATTAACGAAAGATTTATAACATTCACAGTGAAGAAGTGCAGCCACAATAAGATCAATATCAGAGTCAATGTTAGCTGTTACAGTTTAACATTTTAAAATTATGTGAGGTTTTAAAATGACTATAGGTAATTCAAACTTTACTGATAAATTTATATAATTTATAAGATAAATTTATGCTCAAGTGAGGTAAATTATGAATATCTTGACTCGTTAATGTGATCAGATGTCACAATGAAGCAGTGCAGTTCACAGAAACAACCACTAGATGTCATAATTTGACTTTCGGCATATTACCTCACTGTTTTCAGAGGTAAATACTTTATTTCATGTCTTATTTAAGAACTGTGCTTTAACAACTTTAACAGTCTTTTTTTTTAATCTACTTAATGCGATCATTGAATTTCCAGACAGGAATTAAAATGACTGCAGTCTAATGACTTACATATATCGCACAAAGTCAGTGACCTGATGGTATTTTTTACACATTTACAACATAATGTTTTTTTGCATATGGTAAATTTTTTGCTTATGGTGCAAATGTTTGCCTGGTGTATTTGAATATTTCTGCATACTGGGGTCCATATACAATGTAGGAAGCGTATTAATTGGGAATGACCCCCCCCCATGCTCTCCAGCATAGTTTAAAACATGACGTGACCATAAAAAGCCTTGAAATATTTAAACAAGGTTCACAGTGTTCACGACTTACAAAGTCTAACTCAGCTGTCTGACACACTGCAGCCTGAAACATTAACTGAAAGTCATTTTTAAACAATGTATTTGTATCTCATTAATCAATGGCCAACATTTCCATACGTTTGGCCACAGTCACCGGCAGCTTCATTTGGGTAGGTTTGTACAGACGGCTCACGTGTTACGTGAGGTGTTGTCTTTGACAGCAGCACCTGACAGGCGGGCAGGTTTAGTACAGACACCGCTTCCTGTTACAGGTTGCTCAACTCTTCCATTGATTAGAAGATATATTTCAAAGAATCAGACGTCATACAAAGTTATGTCAGAAATGCAGTTTAGCTCACAGTCATTATTTAAGCAATGCAGTTCACCTTCCGGTTCATATTTAGTGCTCGAGTGCTTAATGTGTGAAGGCCCTATCGAAACTGCTCCAGTTATTGTTTTAATACCAAATGAATCACATTTTTGAAGGCCTAAACGTGCCCGAAAACTCATGAAACTTCGCACAAAATTCAGTCATGGCGAGAATTTACGTATTCTTCTTGTCTCGCACATGTGCTTCACAAAACGGCAAAGCTACGCCCCCCAGAATCAGCCCCCAAGACACGTACGACCGACATGTACAAAAATGGGTATACAAGTGTATCATGATCAGACAATCAAAAAATCCTCTAGGATTCATACCCCAAACCCAACAGGAATATAATATATAACATATAAGGTTCCACATCTTTCATGGAGCAGATTGGACCATGTACATTGATGAATTCCCTCGGAGGAGTTAGTTAAAGTACAACATGTGCAAATCACCAAAAATGGTCACTACACCCAAAATGTCCGACTTCCAGTTGGGTTTGTGTCCAAGAGGCTTTTTTGTACCTCTGGACACGTGTACCCATTTTCACACATATCGGTGCCGGCTTTAGTTTATGCCCCTCCCAGCCACAGTCATGTGTGAGATTCATATGACACAAACATTTTCACCACAACTGACATGTGCACCACGTTTCATGAGGTTCGGAGCATGTTGAGGCAGTGGTCACTGCTCTTTCTGTCCAGTGTGTAACATTGAGGAGGATCTATTGTAAAATGTAATATAATATAAATCGGTATGTTTCCATTAGTGTTTAATCAGCTGAACAATCGTTGTGTTTTTGTTACCTTATATGAGACATTTATATCTACACTAAAGCTTCTGGACTAAAAACTTTTTTTAGTTGATTTAAAAGCTTAAAAGTTGTGAGTTAGTTCAACTCAAACTATTTGAGGAAACCGATCACCTTTAACCGTTTAAGTTAATTGTACCAATTCCATTAAAACTAAAAGTATATTTTACACTCAAATGCAGCGACTCTCCAAACAGCTGATGTACGATAAAAACAGTTGACAATTACTTGATCATCCATCACATGTTTGTAGTTATATAAAGTCAACTTAAAGAAAATGAGTCATGAATTGGACAAACTGGAATTATGTGACAAATGTAAGTTGTTTAAGTTGTGTAATTCATGTTTGAGTTGGGTTTAATGTTATGTTATCTTAACTAACTTCTTTTATCAAGATATGTTGTTTTAATAGATCAAGTTTCCTTCAACTGTTCAACAGGTTTGTGACTTTAATATCCAATTTTAGTTTTATTTGCACTGATCGATAACACTTTTCAAATAGAGCAGGTACAGTTTGAACTTGCTGAAATTATTAGCAAATTACAATAAACTATCTAATAAAAGCTGGCAGAACAGCAGCAGTGTGTCGCTCGGGGCCACAGAAAGTCTGGATCGTGACCTGTTGACAGCTTCATTTGGCTGTGTTTGTAAAAAAAGGGCGTATGTGGTACATCAGGTGTAACCAGTATGACAGCAGCACAATGTGGCTGACAGAAGGGGAGGTTCAGTGCAAACACACTTAAACCTGAATACTACAGGTTGTTCAGGACCGCCACTGATTACAGGACTCAGTTCAAACACGCAGCATGGAGGTCAAACTGCTCGCTGTGCTCGTGGTCGTACTGGTTACAGGTGAGTGCTGCTGGATATTATCTCCACTGTTTATAATTTGACTGTATTTATAATGAAAGTAAGTCTTAATAGAGTAGATTGACTCTTTTATTGATGGGTAATTATCTACCTTCTATCCATGTATGTTGATGTGTTTACTGCTCAGAACAAACTGGATTTAACATCAGAGCAAATGAAAAATCTCACTTTAACGGACCAGAAAAGTCGACTAATCAGTCTGAAATATAGAAACACACACACACAGCGTCACTTGTTCCCACAGGTGAGTGGAGCTGATAGATACTAACACATCCAGAACAGCCAGTTTGACTGAGAGTACAGCTGACTTAGGGATGTCAGTCAGGGCTTTATTTAGGTTACTAATCTCTGATCTTTTAACTTATATTTTATTGAGTTTCCTTAAATTATTACAGTAGAAAAAAGTGAATTTACTATTTGAACAATGATTACATTAAAGCAGTGGGAGAACTTTGTTATCACAGAGTAAACTGACTGTATTTTATGGATATTTATATTCAACGTATCAATAACAGCAGATAACAGCTGATAAACTGATAAACTGCAGGAAGTTTGTGTAAAACCAGAGATTTGGTGTTTATACAATCCTCTGTCAGTATTTTTTTAATTTAATTTTTAACCATCATATAGACTCGATTCATTCTTTCCTTCTCATTGTTTGATCAGCTCTTTGGTTGTTTTCTAAAGCAGGACGAGGCTGTTGATCAGAGACTGAATATACACTGTGTTCAGTTTACATCTTAAAATGCTGAGATATACATCTTCTGTGCATATTTTAAAGATTTTCTTACATCCCATAAAATCAAGAAGGCCTCGCGACCCCCTGTGACACTTTGGTGACCCCTAGCATGGGCCACAACCCTCAGGTTGGAAACCACTGATTTAAACAAAAGAAAGACCACAGACTCAATGTGTCCACGGCCTGGACTGATGATCAGAAGGATCTAAAGAGGGAAAAAAATAATGACGAACCAAGGATTTAAAGGAATAGTTTATTATTTTATATTAGTTAAAGGTCCACCGTGTTACATTTATATATAATTATTTATATATTTTATAGAAAATACAGAATACAGTATAAAAAGTTTCCTAAGAAGGAAATAATCAGCTCAAAATTCATGCAAATCTCTGTTTGGGTTCATTGTACAGTTTTAATATAATATTAAACATCCATAAAATATGTTGTTTTATTGTAGATAAAAGTTTATAAATTAAATGTGTGTTTGGTGTAAAAACAACTCAGAGACATCTGGATCATGATGAGGAGACATTTAGAACATTTAGAACATTTAAAACATTTGTTTTGATGTTTTCTGTTGTTTATTAGGGAGAAACGCTGCTGAACAAATGTTACTATAATTTATATTTCTTTTCCCTGATGGTTTGAATAAGATGCAAAACTTTTGGCTTTTAAGAAATAAAGTTGTTAAGAGGATCTGAAGAGAGGAAGATATTGGGTGAAACCATTGTACAGATGGAAGGGGGGAGTCACACTTTTCTTTAACAAATGATTGAAAATAAATAGGAAATAATATAAAACAGCTTTATATATATCAGAGGGATAGACTGGTTCTTTCTCAGGTTATTTAACTTTGGTAAGTTAATTGAAGTTTAACTCACCTGTTCAAAACAGCTGATGTACAATAAAACAATTTATATCATTATGAATTGATTATCAAACTGGTAACCAATTAATTTTTTTTTTTTATGTTTTTTTGTGTGACAAACATAAAATCTTTACACTTCTGGGGATCAATGAGAATTTAGGTTCATGGTTTACCTTCAGATCACCGTAACTTCATTCAAAGAAACCTGTTGGACGTTGTTGTTGGAAACTCGTATTTCAGATTTAAGGATGTCACATGAGGGTTGTATATGAGGGATTCAGTTGCTTTGTATTGTGAAAAAAGAACTGAACGACTACATGAAATGTTATGATGAAGGATTGTATGAAGTTTGAAGTTTATTTATTTAAATGCTCATTAATTAACACAAGGACTTAAGTTCAGTATGTCCCTCGTTGCCTCTGATTCTGTAAATCTCGACTGAATTCTGACTTTTTACAGAAACAAACAATTCACACTTTATTTCCCCTCAAAATTCACTTTTTAATCCTAAAATGTTGGCTTTTATGCAGCTTAAATTCCCCCTTTTAGCTGCGTTCACACTGCGAGCATTAGAGCTCAATTCTGGCTTATTGCTCAGATAAAGTCGGTCCACTAACAGTTGTTTCTGCCACTGACTCAGATTGTTATAACACTGTAACTTCATTCAAAGAGGACAGAGACATAATACAACTGTGAAATAAAACTGAGTAGATACAGTAACACAGTAATACGATATCTAATTTCTTGGAACACTTTTGTTTGACCCTGCGACACAAATTCCTACCTTACCCACATTTCTCCTGAATGCCTCAACAACCAGTTGTTTTAGTTACTTCAAACCACTTCTGTGAAATGTTAGAAACCTTTTCTGATAACAGAGATTTTAGAACCAGTTTCCTTTAAATAACTGAATGTTCTTTGTCTCTCACAGGAGGAAACGCACAGATAGACGGTGAGTTATTATCTCATACTTTAGTTTATTTATTGGATTTCTCTTTGCAAATAGAGCACATACAGCTGATTGACTCTGTGTATACACAACACAAAGGTTTCAAACAGGGTTCAGTACAGTGTTTGAACTCACAACAACCAGGTTACATCAGCTTTGAAGTCTCCAAATAGCAACCAAAGATCATTAAAAGCACCTATAAAACAACTTATATGTTGATTTTATCCACAATATTTATCATAAACTCCACATTTTCATGGGACACTTTAATGCATTTTAATGTGAGCCCTGTGAATTCCTTCTGAGACGCCTGATGTCTGATTTAATTTATTGACATTTTAGATTAGTTTGCAGCTAATTCCTCCTCAGAGGATCATGAACATATGAACTGTCACTACAGTCAGTGTGATAGCTGTTGAGATATTTGCAGCGGCTCCATGAATTCTGACTGTTTCCCTCCAGTTTGCGGCATCGCTCCGCTCAACACTAAGATCGTGGGAGGCGAGGACGCCCCCCCGGGGTCGTGGCCCTGGCAGGCCAGTCTGCACAGTAGCGGCGGACATTTCTGTGGAGGCTCCCTGATCAACAACCAGTGGGTCCTGACCGCTGCTCACTGCTTCTCCAGGTGAGCGCCCATCCCACCATGTGACTCAGCACTTCACCTGTCTAAACAGAGCGAGCTTGTATGGCAACAAAGACAGAAATACAGCGAGGGTGTGGCAGGAAAACCACTTCGAACACACTCAGCATGTTTTTCTTCATGCAATCAGAAAGAGTCAGCTGGGTTGGATTCTTATCGCAGCAGAAAAACAAAACCATAAACACCATAAAAGAATAATATGGAGAAACTGCTGCAGAGATAAGAACAACTGATTAAAAAAACTAAACTCTGTACATAAATGAAAACTGGAACCAGTTGGACGTCATTGTTGGAAACTCGTATTTCAGATGTTCAGATGAGGATCATCTATGATGATTCAATTGTTGTTTGTTCCACTGACAGACTCAGGTTGTTATTGTCAGTGTCTGACAGCATTATGGAAAGGATCCCTACAGAGATAGACCTTTAGTTTAACCACAAACAGCCGTAATATCACTATCACTCTCCACCAGACTCCAGAGACAAAAACACTAATTTTACCTTCAGATCATCGTAACTTCATTAAAGTGGACAGAAACAGAATAAAACTCATTAAAGCGTCTCTGTTAGTGTTTCCAACAATCACCAACTCTGGTTTGGTGGAAATAAATCCTTAATTCACCGACGTAGATGATAAAAACTGCGATACAACACAGGCAGAGGGAGAGAGACACCATGTGACTGATGTGTATCTTTATATAGAGAATATAATGTTAGCTGATATATTAACGTTATAAATCTCGTATTTAACCTTTGAAGCGTGCGTCTCTCACACGTTGTGTTTTCTGTTTCTCAGCGCCAGCACATTCGGGTTCATCGTTTACCTCGGACGCGACACCCAACAGTCCCTGAACCTTAACGAGGAGTCCCGGACCCTGTCCCAGGTCATCCGACATCCGGACTACAATGCCGACACCAACGACAACGACGTGTGCTTGTTGCGTTTGTCCTCACCTGTTGACTTCTCCAACTACATCCGACCAGTGTGTCTGGCGGCGGACAGCAGCGCCTTTGATGCCGGGACGACCACTTGGGTGACCGGATGGGGAACCATCGACTCCTCTGGCAGTAAGAATATAATTTTAAAGTTTATTTTCAATAGTGCGTGATTTTATTAAAGGTAGGGTCAGTGATCAAAGGTTAGTGTCATACATTGACTGTTTACCATCCACTGTTTAGATCTTGGTGCTTTTTAACTCTAGATTTGAACCGAAGAAGGATTTTAGTCATCGGACGTCTGGATCTTAAGTTATCAGAGAAACAAGCTGAGCTAACGTTAGCAGGAGCATGTTTGAGCCTCTTTGTATGAGTCGGTGCTCGTGATACCAGAACAGGTTCAGTGGGAGTGTTTTTTTGACTTTGAAACCCGTGAGAGGAAGTCAGCAGGTTTTTACAGCTGAAGGAAAACACCTGTTAAGACATCAGAGGTTGGGGGCGTGGCCTGAAGAGCAACAGGTTTGAAAGAGTTATTTCTTCCTGGAGTTCAAGTCCTATTTATCTTTCCCTTAGACAATGTTAGGTGAGTCACAGCTGGAGAACTTCAAGTCTTGGGTGGACCTGAAACTGTCCTGGTTACGTAATTAGCACAAAAGTTCAGGGATTGAATGATTTTCATACGGTGGCCAACAAGGGCAAACGCACCGCAAACGGGCAAACGCAATACCAAAAACACACAAACATATAAAAACGCAGCAACAGAAAAATGCTGCAATCACAGAAACAAGCAGAAGCAAAAACTTACAAACCCACAAAACAACTGCAAAAGATAAATGCTGCAAATTCGCTCGACAAAACAAAAGTGCACCAGACCACTAGGGGGACCCGACCTGAAAGACATGAAGAAGAAGAAAGTTTTGGAGAGGACAGTAAAAGATAATTTTTTTTTATGTCTTTTTCAAACACTTGGCTGTAATCTTTTATATTATATAATATTAAATAATATAATGATAATATTATTTAATATTATAATAATAATAAATAATATTATTATACTGTTCTTCTATAATAATATTATAATAATATTATTATAATATTATTTAATATTATAATAATATTATTATAATATTATTTAATATTATAATAATATTATTTAATATTATAATAATAATATTATTATAGAAGAATATTATAATAATTATTCTGTTATAGAAGAGTATTCTTCTATAATATAATATTATTATTATATTATATAAAAGATTACGGCCAAGTGTTTAAAAAAGACATAAAGGAAAACTTATCTTTTTACTGTCCTCTCCAAAACTTAGCAAACTTTCTTCTTCTTCTTCATGTCTTCATGTCAGGTCTGGTCCCACAGGACTGGTCCATCCCTCAGGTCGGGTCCCCCTAGTGGTCTGGCGCACTTCTGTTTTGTCGAGTGAATTTGCAGCATTTATCTTTTGCAGTTGTTTTGTGGGTTTGTAAGTTTTTGCTTCTGCTTCGTTTCTGTGATTGCAGCATTTTTCTGTTGCTGCGTTTTTATATGTTTGTGTGTTTTTGGATTTGCATTATTCCCATGTTTGCAGCGTTTTGACGTTTGCGGCGCGTTTGCCCTTGCGGCCACCGTATTATCGGATGTGATTCAACATTTTTCCGACTGTCTGTACTGTTTTCCTGTTACTATTAGTGTAGTTGTTGCTGTGCACCTTTGTATCTGTCTCTCTCCTTCTGTCTTTACCTCTCTCTCTCTCTCTCTCTCTCTCTCTCTCTCTCTGTCTCTCTCTCCCACCCACCTACAGCCGGAGGATCTGTCCTAGGTTTCTGCCTTTTAACAGGCAGTTTTTCCTTGCCCTTGTCGCCAAGTGCTTGCTCATGGTGGTACTGTTGGGTCTCTGTAATTAATGTTAAAGAGTTCGGTCTAGACCTGCTCTATTTGAAAAGTGTCTGACACTGTGACACAGACTATCACCAGACTTAATATCAATATCTTGTTTCTCTTTCAGTTTCCCTTCCTTTCCCACAGCGGCTGCAGGAGGTGAGCGTTCCCATCGTGTCCAACAGTCAGTGTAACAATGATTACGGCGGAGGAATCACTGACAACATGGTCTGTGCCGGTCTGCAAGACGGAGGGAAGGACTCCTGTCAGGTGAGTCTGCACAACAGCCCTCCATCAACTGTTCAATGTTTATATCAGCATCAAAAACATACAAAAATTACCTGTGAATTTACAAACAACTGTAAATAATTATAAAATTACTGTTTATGTTTAGAAAATATCCTTTTTTTCACATAAAAAGATTAAAATACATTTTCAAATGTGTATTTGCAGATATTTATTGTTTATTTCATATAAATATTGTTACATTCAAGTTCAATACTGTTAATACATTTCTAAAATTGTGTAAAATCAGTGACAGTAACAATAAAAAGTATTAGTTGTGTAATTTTAATGTGTTAGTTAGTTAACTGACAGATATCTTATATAATGATGGAAGTTGAATAAATGTTGTTTATCAGTGTATAAGCATTGGTAAACTGTCCAAATACAGTTGTTATCAGTGTAAACAGCAATAATGACTGTAATCTCACAGATAATGACTTTTATTAAAGTTCTATAACTTTTAACATTCACATTAAAATAATAACAATCCAATAATAACAGCACTCTGCTGTAAATGTAAGTCTGATTATTGTATTATAGCAGAGTTCACCTGGATTTATTGATCATTGTTTTACACTGTAACTTTAATTCAACATTAAAGACAGATAATTACACAAGATTTTATGTAAAATTAAAGCTAAAAACTGTATTTTCATTGTAGAAAATTATTGTATTTTTACGAGTTATTTTACAGTTTATATTCCTCTTTATGTAACCAACATGTTTGTTCTGTGCAGGGGGATTCAGGAGGCCCGATGGTCAGTAAAAACGGCTCTCGGTGGGTTCAGGCTGGAGTGGTGAGTTTTGGAAGCGGCTGTGCTGATCCAGATTTCCCAGGAGTCTACGCCCGAGTGTCCCAGTACCAGTCCTGGATCAACAGCCAGGTCAGTGGGGACCCGCCAGGCTTCGTCACCTTCCAGGGCGACGGTTCGACCTCCGCCGCCGCTCAGCTGGTCTCCCTCTCGGTTCCTCTGCTGCTGTCCGTCTTACCGGTTCTCTTCTCGCTCTTCGTCCTGTTATAGGACGTTTAATGTCTCTCTATCACTGTCTCATGTTTTTAAAACAAGCAACACAAATGTGCTCAGGTATAAAATATTCTGTTTCCAGAGCAGTTTCCTGCATTGAAGGAGTTTTACAGAAATTAATATAAAAAAAAAGTTTTTTACGGATTATTTTCTCCATTTTGTCTAAAGAAATGACAGAAAATAGAGAAATTATATCCAACACACTTTTTACTTTATCTTTGACCTTTACAATCCATCATTTAAATGAAAATTGAACAAATCAAGTCTTAAAAGCTCTTTAAGGTGAATGTATTAACAATTAAACACAAATTAACAGATTTGAAAAAGATAACTGAATTCTCCGTATTTATGAACTCAAATATTAAACATTTGCACTGATGGTGAATTTTATTATTTCTGAGCTTTAACCTGCGATGTTACAGGAGGAGTGACGGTCTTTAATCTGTGATTCATTAACTACTGTAACTATTAATGCACTGTGCGCCTGTTACTGTGATTTACTTTTTAAGCACATAAAGTATGAATTAGTACAAAGATCACATTGCACACATGTTCATATTTGTTTGGTATCTTACTGTAAGTAAATCTTTTTAAAAACACTAAATACAATCTCTGTATCTTTTGACTGTGTTATGTGAAATAAATGCTTTTTTCTTAACATTTGGACTGATTGGATTCAGATTTTGGACTGTAGTGATAGAGGAAGCTTCAACTCAAACTGAGCTGTTTAAGTTTAACAGTAATATAGATATTAAACTTTGGTAACTTCAGTAAATTAAGTTAATTGAACTAATTCCTTTCAGTTAATTGAAGTTAAACTCATATGCAGTATTTCTCCAAACTGATATAAAATGTGTGAACAGAATTTATCTGAATAAAGTCACTTAAACGGATCTTCTTTATACAAATATTAGGTGGAATTTACTCAGTTTTCTTCCATTAAAGCAAATTATTATTACATTACAATAAAAACTATTTATAATGAATTGATTATTATTAGTAATTTTCTGTACTTTTTTATGTGACAAACTTTGGGATCATTAAGAATTATTTGGATGCATATTTGGGTTCTTTATGATGATTAATAAACTGAAATAAAAACCCAAATGGTAAAATACTGAGCTACACAGCATTATAATGTTTAATATAAAGATATAAAATCAACTAAAAGAGAATTAGTCAGTGGAACAAACTAGAATTATATCACTAATCTTTAAATGATGTTAACTTCTTTTATTAAGATGTGCATTGAAAATGTTACTTAACTAAAAGGTGGCAAAGTCCACACATTATACTTGAGTTGAAGTACTTGTGTAAGTACTAATTAAACTTCTTTACTCAAGTAAAAGTATAAAAGTACACTGAAATGTACTCAAAGTATAAAAGTAAAAAGTCTTTGAAAGTGAAACAAAAACAAAACAAACAAAAAAAGCTGAGAATTAAAATAATTCAAAGGGAAAGAAGCAAATTCTCATATTTGATAAGCTGCAGAAACTGTTGGGTGGTTTAATATAAACTCTTCATTTTATTGTGAAATTCTTAAATTTTAATAATTTTGAAGTACTTGAGTACGGAAGCCGAGAACGGCCATGGATTTTTTTAAACATTTTATGCACCATTATCTTGTGATAACGACTTATTAATTCGATATCTCGATTTAACAAAGTTTGTTTTTTCGTGATAACTAATTAATTAATAATGTGTTCGTCTTGATTTCAACCTACAAGAGCTGCCACGAACGGCTTCCAGTCAAGTAAACAAACTAACGTAAAGTGTAACTTACCGGTCAGCTACAGCTACGGCCAGTGGCTGCGGACGCCGTTCGTGGCAGCGCGTTAGTTTGAAGTCAAGACAAACACATTATTAATTAATTAGTTATCACGAGAAAACGATCTTTGTTATGTCGATATAACGAGATAATAAGTTGTTCCGTACTTGAGTAAATGTATGTGCACATTAAAGGACTGACACTCAGAGGCCGTTGTTGGTAATCTAAATTATTTTCCATTTAAATAACACAATAGACTAAACAATATAATAGATGATAGAATATACTGTAATATAATCATATATAATTATGATTGTTGTTTAACAGAGTTTTTACAGTAGATCTCATAGTTCCCATTTTACATGAACGCAGCACACGTCCCGTTGAAACTGTGGTGGTTTCTGATTGGATCCCCGACAGAAAGCGATGAATGTGGTGAATTCTGATTGGACGCCAGACAGGAAGCGAAACGGCAGCTAAAGCTTTGCTATGACTGGAGCTGAGGCTGGCTGTAGTTAATTAGAGTCTGCGGTGATTAAAGTCTGAATGGAAGATAATAAAGTTGTATTAAACACGTTTGTTTTGTTATGTTTCATCGTGCTGAAGGCGGAGCAGCTGTCCGGGGACGGAGGAGGCTGGTGAGTCCATTACCGGACAGATTTATGATTACGTTCATTTAAATTTTAATGTTTGACATTTTCATTTTGGGGATTTTACCTTGAAATTCATTTCAACACTTTCAAAATGTTGCCTAGTTTAGCCCCGACACCTGCTCATCTGACTGAACTTCACACCAAACTCCATTCAAAATTCTGTCACTTTAACGTCCGCCCTGATATGACACATCACAGAGGTTTGTTAACGTCCCATCGAAAAGTTCAAGTCACAGAAGCTAAAACAGAAATATAAATGTTAAATGGCTGCCAAAGTGATGTGACAAAAGCTTTTACAAACTAAATAAAACTAAACTTTATCTAACTTGACTCTAAAACTAAATAGAGTAAAAGTTAAATGAGGTTTGGTACAGAATTCGTACCAGTGTTTCCACTGCTTCCATGGAGCCCAGTCTCATGTCCCTGCTCTGTTCTCATCTCCATGTGTGCTTCTTGTTCAGGTCTGATTCAGAGTTCAGACTGGAGGATGAAGGTCGTTGTAACATCGATGTGTGGGACAGCTCTTCGCTCTCCCATCAGCAGTTCATTGAAAGGTACAAACACATGAACTATGGATCAATAACTTCACACTGGCAGATCCATTTAGAGTTTATCTGAGGTCAAACATACAAACTTTATAACAACCGGTGTTTATTTAGGGTTAAACTGATATTTTCTTTAAGAAGAGGCAGAAAAATGACATTAAAGACTATTTTATTATTAGTAACAGTGTAAAACTCTAATATACATAAATACAAAACACAACTCACATAATAAATAAAACACCAGCCCAACTAATAATGTAACACTAATGTACAGTTACAGTACTGAAAGTAATAAAAACTCCATGAAACATGTTGTGATATCGTATAAATATTAAGTTATAATATTAAAAACATCTTAAACATCAAACCTTTAACGTTATAATTTAAAAGTGATCAGTGTTTCTTGTTGTGGCGTCGCAGCATTGAGCTTCTGTAGAAAATAAAACTCTTGAATGGATGAAAATCGTGTTCCAGGTCTCTTTTTCAGGGATTTGAGGGTTTTATTTTGCCCTCAGTATTTCTAAAACTCTGGTTTAATGAGCGTGTTGTTGTGTTTGACCTCCGTCTGTCTCTGTACGCTCACTCACTCCTCCTCCTCCTCCTCCTCCTCCTCCTCCTCCTCCTCCTGCTGCTGCTGCTGTGTCTCAGATACGCGTACAGCCGACCGGTGATCCTCAGAGGCCTCACTGATAACACGGTACGTTCACTGACTGTTGGTTGACTCGCTGCAAACACTGAAAGTCCTACAGTTTATTTTTAATTTTAAACGTTATAAATATCTGTACGTATCAGAGGAAAATCACAAACACTGATTGATGGTCAGGACGTTATTGATTTAGTGAGTTTTTGTGATATCTGGATGTGACCTCGGGACCCCCACTAGGAGGAGTCAAGAGGTATCTCAGTGTTTCTTCCAATTCTGTGAAGAAAACTAAATTAAATTGTTATTTTTAAAGATTTCTATTTAAGATAACACAAACTGCTCTTAAAGTACGCAGTTAAAACAAAAAATAAATAAATAAAAGTCACAAAGAGGCATATTAAGAGTCAATAATGGTTAAAAAACATAATACTGACAAAGAATTGTTTGAAAAGTTCCTAAAAATATCAGGAAAACTCATCTCTGATCAATATTCACACACAATATTCAAATTATGTCACATTATTATAATACTGGATCATAATTTCTGATGCTTTAACATGTAAGCTGCACTTTACTGTATCTTTATATACTCTTGACTTCTTACTTTTATAGTTTATAAGCTTACAACATGTTTTATTTAATCCATTTAGAACGAACGCAGACTCTTAAGTATCAGGACAGGGACTGAAGATATTTGTATAATAATAATAATAAGAGTTGTATATCTTCCTTTGATAAAACCATCAAACACAAACTGCACTCTGTGAATCGGACTGTGAATGTTGTTCTAGAAGTTCAGGTCGTTGTGCTCCAGGTGGAGTTTACTAGAAGAGTACGGGGACCGGAGAGTGCGGCTCAGTACTGCTAACACTTACTCTTACAGGAAAGGTATGAATGTCTGACTCTCCCTCTGCTGTCTGATTTAAACCTGCAGGGACTTTTATTTTGTTATTAATCTTTTACACTTACTGACTGATCGCTTTGTTCCAGTGGACGTCCCCTTTCAGGAGTATGTGGACATTTTACTGAGGCCTCAGTCTGCGGACGCTCTCGGCAGCGGTGAGTCAAACACTTCAGTTAAAGGTTGTTTACACACAGTTCACTGCTGCCACTAGAGGTCGCAGTAGAGCAACAGCAGCTCAGACCAAAACAACGGGTGCATCAACCCACCAGACTCCATTCATAAAACCAGTGATTTTACTGTGCAGATAATCGTAAAACACTTCAAAGTGAACAGAAACAGAATAAAACTCATTAAAAGAACAAGCTGTTTGAGGATAGAGGAAGTCTTATAAAGATTGACTTGAAAAGTTCACAGTTTTCAAATGAAGTTTTGAATGTGAACAACAACTGAACTATAATTTAATAGAGGAAGAAAATACATATAAATACATGTTTAATACTAGTACTTATTAGTACTTAATACAGTACTTTAATTACTGTCGGACTTCCTGTCTGAGGCTCATTGGTTCCTACTGATGTGGGATTAATGTGTGTTTCTCTCTTCTTCAGACACGCTGTATTTCTTCGGAGACAACAACTTCACCGAGTGGCAGAGTTTGTTCGAGCACTACAAGTCTCCGCCGTACTTCCTGCCTCACACCACCGGAGCGTTCAGCTTCGGGATCGCAGGTCGGTGTTTGTCTACAGCGACGCTAGCGGCTCTGAACATGTTTTCTTAAATCTGAAAACACAATATTTGTAGTCCGGGAAATCTTTTCAGAACTACAGTATTTTATTATAATGCAGTTTGTCACATTTTAACTTTTATCAACAAAAATTGCTTGAAAACTTCTGCGATTTGCATATTGCACTTTGCTGTATTGCAAATTTGATAATATTTAGATTAATTGTGCAGCGTGAACGCAAATATTTTTGGTACATGACCAAAGAAAACACAAAAAAAGTGCTGTGGTTTTCCCTTTTGCACCAAATGCACCAAAAATAATATTAAAAATAAATGTAGGCATTAATTAATTAATAAAACTGAAATTGATATTTCTGCTTTTAATTTCTATATTTATTTCCATTTGTATTAATTCCCATTTTTCTATACTTTTTTCTTTCCATTTTACTTAATTTATTCTTTATTTTATTCCTTATTATATATTTGCATGTCTTTACCAAAACTTATTTATTTTCAAGGCAAATTCATTTATTTCCTTATTTCTTTTTGATTTTGGCAGTTTCGGGCCTCCGTACTAAAATTAATTAAATCTCCACAATGAATAAAATAAAATCTTGTTCAGCATTAAAGCAAATATTTATGAAATTGTTGCTATGTGACCAGATGTGGTGTTTGGTCTGCAGGTCCAGGAACAGGAGTCCCGTTTCACTGGCACGGTCCCGGTTACTCCGAGGTCATCTATGGAAGAAAGGTGAGGCAATAAGATGCCACGTTGAATTATTTCCTCCCTGAATCAGTTTGATTCGTCATCTGATGTGTGAACGCAGTGAATGATTCTGTATTGATCCCACAGCGCTGGTTCCTCTACCCGCCCGATCAGGAGCCTCATTTCCACCCGAACCGGACCACGTTGTCCTGGGTGACCGAGATCTACCCCAACCTGCCCGAGGACGAGGCCCCGCTGGAGTGCACCATCAGACCTGGAGAGGTAACCAGACTCTTTAAAACACATTTATTATTTATTATTGATTATATGAGCCTGTGAAATTAATTTTTATCTTCTAACTAATCGTTTTAGTGATTTTATATGGAGGACCGACACTGCCGAAGTCAAAATTAAATGGATGACTCAATAAATAAATGCTATTAAATGCACCAAAATAATATTTAATAAATAAATGTTAATTTATTCATCAAATATTTGTGTTTTTATTAGCTTCTGTATTTATTTACCTTACCTTTATTAATGGTTAAGAGGACCTTTGGAGGCATTTCCTACATTTAATAAATTTCATCATATGATGCATTTCATCCATTTATCTTTGGTTTCATCGTATAAATAAGTTTGAAATTAAGAATATTTTAACCAAAAACAAATGAAATAGAAATATTTTCAGTATTATTTGGTGTAAAATTTTCTCCAACACTGATTTCTTTTTTTTTGTTTGTTTTTTATTGGAAGAAACTTAATAATGGAAATTAATAGTGACACCAAAACAACAATCTGGATTTTAATAATTAATTTAAATCTATTTTTTTCCTCTCACAGCAGTAACGTCACTTATTGAGCTGAAGCATCAATATAAACTACTTTCACAGATGTATTTATATTTTATCTGACACTCTTGGTGTTTTTCTCCGTCAGGTTCTGTATTTCCCCGACCGCTGGTGGCACGCCACTCTCAACCTGGACACCAGCGTCTTCATCTCCACCTTCCTCGGCTGAGCTTCTTCTTCAGCTCTGCAGTATTTCCTGTGTTTGATGTTTCAGAGCGATGAACTGTCGAGTGTTGGGATCATATTTCAGTCTGAAGCAGAGGCGGATCTAAAGATTATAAGAAAATGTAAATTAACTCATATCATTTACTGATTTTTTTAGACTGAAGTGAGATGTGTTTCACCTTTATAGATATATTTCTATTCAAAGCTTCACTAATGTGCCACAATCATCAAGTTAAAATATCTTTTCCAAGCAAATATTGGTTTATGTGATCGATTGTGGATGAATATTTCCTCCACATTTACATTCCAGGTGAATCTTTTAAACAAAGATTGTATTTAATGACCAAAAGGAGCTAAAAGTGACAACGTAATGTCGGGATCAATATGTGTGAGTGATGAGTTATTGATCTGTGTCATCGTATTATTTTTATCAGCCGGTTGAACTTGAAGCAAGAAAGCAGAACACGTCTGTTCCAGCCACTGTTGTTGTTTCAGGAATAAAAATTATTATTTAAATGTTTTTGTTTTTGCTTGTTTACAAAAAAAACTAATTAGCTAGTGTTTTCTTCTTCACAGTGTGGTTGTATTTTATTATCTAACATTATAATAGAACAATAATAACATAAGAATATAATAATAAACATTAATTAATTAAACAATTGATGGATTAATGTAGATCTGATAGCTAGTTAGCTAGTAATATATATATATATTGGCCTAGCACATAGCATTGTGATTATTATAGAGAACAAACTGAAACCAAAAGTCCAACCCAAGATTTTATTGTCTCTTTGAATCCTGTAAACACATTGTACATTAATAAGTATAATTTATACATTAATACATATAAATTGTACATTAATAAGTATAATTTCAATGTTTCCTCTTCTTAAAAAGCAGCAGGTCCTCAAAGATCTTTGGGTTTTACGCTGTCGGTCCGACTTGTTTTTGGACATTTTAAAGACAACAATTGATTAAATAATTCAGTCCAAAGTACGAGCTTCCTAGAGGACAGACAGAGAGACGATGACGGACATCAGCAGAGGAACCCAGAGGGAAACCAGCTGAGCAGTTCCAGAGTAGATGAAGCCCGGCTGGTTCTTGGAGATGTGGCTCTTGATCCAGGACTGGTACTGGGACACTCGGGCGTAGACTCCTGGGATTTTGGGTTCAGCACAGCCGGCTCCAAAACTCACCACTCCAGCCTGAACCCACTTACTGTCTATTTTCCTCACAAACGGGCCTCCGGAGTCGCCCTGCGGAGGTCACATAGAGCGGTGGAAGATAACACACAATGAGTTGGATTTGGGACTGAATCCGACCTGTTGCTGTTTCCTGTCTAACTTAAGGAAATAAAAGCCCCCCAGCGGTTAAAGGAAGGGGTGTTTTGCAGACTCACCTGGCAGGAGTCCTTCCCTCCCTCTTTCAGACCGGCACAGAGCATGTTGTTAGTGATTACTACGACTCCGCTGTAGACGGCGCTACACTGACTGTTGGACACGGTGGGAATGCTCACCTGCTGCAACTGCTCTGGGAAAGGAAGCGGAACTAAAAGAGAAAAGATTTATTAATTAACTCCAGTTTATGTTACCGGCTCGTAGCGTAACGTTGGCTCGTAGCGTCCATTATCAGGAATTAATGGACTTTGCTCAACACCGTCCATTAATTCCTGATAATGAACACCTCGGCAGACATTATACCCCACATAACATTATATCGACGTGTTTGTCTTGTGTTGTGGACAGTTGATTGCAAATCAGTAAACAACAATAAAAAGATAATTATGAAAAAATAATTAATCCATGTGATCATGAAGTCTCACCGTCGGTTCCAATGGTTCCCCATCCGGTGATCCAGAAGCTGGTCCCGGGATCGAAGGTGCTGCCGTCCGCCGTCAGACACACCGGTCTGATGTAGTCGGTGAACGTAACGGGCGAGGACAGACGCAACAAGCACATGTCGTTGTCGAATGTGTCGGGAACATATCTCGGATTTTTGATGACCTGGGTCACGGACCGGGACACCTCGTTACGGTTCGGGAGCTGTTGGGTTTCACGTCCGAGGTAAACGATGAGACCGGATGTGCTGGTGCTGAGAAACAGAAACAGTGTGAGGACGTGTTAATTCTGTTTAATCACGTCTTTATTCAGTGACACAGTTTTATTGTTACAGAATTTTCATTATTTATGCTGTTGTATATTATGCATTTTATAATTTAAAGAATAATTTTGTATTTTCTTATGCTTAAGTATTAATTATATATATATATATATTAATCAATAAAGTGCTTTTATTAAATAATTAACTGTCTTTAAAGAGTTGCTACATTTAAACACAATATTTTAATAATGATTTTATTAATGGAAACTATCCTAATTGTAGATGCATGTTAACAATGTAAATCATTAGGAAACTGAATTAAAACTAGTTAAAAGAATATCGTATAAACTGAGTTGAATTAGAATAATGTAGCTGTGTATTTATACCTGGGGAAGCAGTGAGCAGCAGTCAGGACCCACTGGTCGTTGATCAAGGAGCCTCCACAGAAATGCATGCCTCTCATGTGCAGACTGGCCTGCCAGGGCCACGACCCCGCGGTGGCGTTCTCGCCTCCAACGATCTTACTGTTGAGTGGAGCGGTGCCGCAAACTGGAGGGAAACAGTCAGAATTCATGGAAACGCTGCAGGTTTTTATATTTATGATAATGTCTGATCCAGTCTGAAATAACTCAACAACTACGGGTTCCCCAAAGTAAAAAAAACTGGGACCTGTTTTCATTGGGTAGTAAAATGAACGACAATGTCATGATATGTTTTACTCGTTATTAGAGATAACGTAGACAAAATGTGCGGACTCGAACCTTAAAGTTTGAGATTTAGCATTTATCAGAATGGGACTGAACCGAATATAATCCTGTTTGTCAAAAATGTTCCTGAATGTCAGGGAGAAATGCGCCCTCTGGTGCCACGCAACTTATTACCCCGACATGGCTGATCGGTACTCTTGTTGTTAAACATACTGTCAAATTATATTTACCGTTTGTTGACCGAATGCAGTTTTATTGACTTATATATATATGTATATATATATATATATATATATATATATATATATATATGTATATATATATAAAATATGTATATAAACAAAAAAAAAACATATATATATATATATGTATATATATATATATATATTGGGGGGGGTACATGGTCGACAAAATTGGGGCCCTGCGATATCCCATAATGCCTAAATGGTTATTAAATGTTAGCTTGGGCTAAAAGTAAAGGAACAGTGAACAAAATGTAAGAAAAAGAAAAGTATTTCAGTGTCTCAGTGGAGTCTGAAAAGTGAGAACTGCTGCAGATTATTCAGACGGTTCCAACTTTTACTTTTGTGTAAACAGAGAAAATGTATTTTATGTTCTCTTTGCAAAGAGAATTTAAATGAATAAATACAAGAACATAACTCACCGTCTATCTGTGCGTAGCTTCCTGTTGGAGACAAAGAATGAACACTTTGTTACTGTATGTCGGACATTGAGCTCACCAAATATTCTAGTTTTTCTCCTTCAACACAAAATCCTGAGGACGCTCGTTCAGTAAAACAAGTTTAATTAAAAATCCATCTCGGATGAGCATCGACTTTGGCTGCCTGATAACGAAAAATAAAGAATAAAAGAATATTTTTTTATAACTTTGCTCAGTAACTAACATTACAGTTACCCACCTTACATTCTGATACATATATCGATATAAATGAAGTGTCTTAATTTGCAATCAGTAAATAATTACACACTTTATTCAGACTTATTCTCCTGATTCAGGGTTATTTGATAGATTTACACTGCAGGGTTGAGTACGTTTACATATAATTCCCTTTATGTAAGAGTAAGAGTTCAGCAGTCTCACAGCCGGAGGGAAGAAGCTACAGCATCAGAATTAAATATTAATAATGAATAAATAAATCCAGATTATCAACACTGCTGAGACGGTATTTAACAGCACTCACCTGTAACTGTTAAAGCCGCGAGCACGACTCCACACACTAACGCTTTGACCTCCATGGTGTGATTCCCTGATGCAGCTGGAAGCCTCGACTGCTCGCTGGCTGACAGCTCGGTCAATTTATGAGTTCTCACTGATAACAGAGTCATAAACCTGAGTCCAAGAGCAAAGAGCAAAATTAGTTAGGTACACAGTCTGACTCTGAACATCTTTACACAGTACCAACAGAGGTCATTAATGGCCTTCAGTGTGTAACATTCAGGAGGATTCATTAATGTAATATAATATCATATTTATGTTTTATTAGTGTTTAATCAGCTGAAAATCAGAATCATTGTGTTCTTGTTACCTTAGAATGAGACGTTTTTATCTACAGAGGGACTCTTCGGGCATATTTTGCTGGTTTTGTAGCCACAATAGTTCTTCAACTTCACCACTGGTTGTTTGAGAGAAGTTAAAGGCAGAAGAACGCGGCGGTCTCATAAAGATCCATGTGAATCTGTGTTTTTGTGGCTAACTGTCACTGTCACTATAATTTTAATGGAGGACCAATGTGATTTTATGGGAGAGCATGTAAAAGCCTCTCTTCTGTGACTTTAAACGTTTTGGACTTACAGGAAAGTCTACATGAAACGGAAATCCGAGTGCAATACCCGTAGAAAGAGGCAGCTATAACAATCCTATTGGAGCTCCCAGTGAACAGCACGGCCACACCGGACCAAGTACAGCATCCGATGCTGACAGAGGTCCGTTCTACAACAGGGAATACAGTACAGAGGGGTAGCTAACATAATCTAACTAAATCTATTACTGTTAGCAGCAGTTAGCTTCTTTTAGCAATGAGTCCATCTGGAAACTCCCATAAATCCCCTCGGTACCGCTGTCGTCTGTCTGTCCTCTGTCTCTGAGGTTGTGTTCACTGGGAGGCTTATTGAAGTACAATAAGGATCCCAAAATATAATATTACAAAATATAATAGAAAATATTTTGAGCAGCTTTTGACTAAAAATCTAAACTGTACATGTGCTAAAGATAAATAAAGATAAATAGTTTGTGCGTCGTAGGTTGAAGTTAAACCAGCGTTCTGACAAATACCTCCTATCTTATAATAATAAAACTAAAAATAACACTGAAACTAACAAACACATTTAAAATGTTCAACAATTCAAAATAAATAAACTCTTCCTCTTTCTTTTTCTTTTTAATTACTATTCATCATATGTCATTATTATTATTATTGTCTTGGTCATTATGGCTATTTTCACCTTTTTCTTGTCTCACTCTGTATAGGTCGGGGTGGGGGGGGGTCTTGTTTCTGTGTTTTGTATTATCTCTACTTAAAAACAATAAAATGTGTTAAAAATAAATAAACAGAAACGACTGGAAACTAAATTAAACACAAAACTTTAAAAAACAAATAAGAATAACAATTTGAATGTGTGAGAAAAGCTTCCACCTCGTTTACAGTCTGTAATAAAGTGAATTTTCTGACTGTAACGAAGTTCATATTTCTACACACAGTCACGCCTTTTGTCCTCCTCAGAGCTCGACCTTCGACCCTGACACACAGGTGTGTCCAAGTGTTCATTCATAGCTTTATCTGCCTTTAAAGGGAGTTCCAGCTCTGCTTTGTGTGCCGAGGCTGACAGCTGAAGGTCTTTTAAAGCTTCTCCCTCGATAACCTTAAACAACTGCTGGGAAACAGGCAGTTCACTTTAGTTCCACCCGGAGAAATAAAACTGTCTCACGCTGTATTCTCAGCTAAAAGACAGAATAACATAAAATCATAAACAATAAGGCAACAACACTGCGATATTACAGCACCTAAAGAAAGTTTATGTATTTTATTTACTGTATTTATTTATTAAAGGATATTTTAGTGTCATATACAATAAAATTATTACATGTTCTAATCAATGATATGAATAATAAATTCAATGTTGTACCCTTTAGACTCCTTTAAAGTCATAAAAAATAATATTAAAAAAATACAATTATAACATATTAAATTCATTTTTAACATAAAATTATATATAAAATATTATATAATATATATTTAACTGATTTTATGATGATTTTATCTCTTTGGCATACTGTCTCAAAGGGAACATTATATCTGTATTATCACCTAATGCTTTATTATTTTTTATCATTTTATGGCCGACAGAAGTTACCGGTAGTGAATAAGTGAGCTCGTAAATCACTGATGAAATAACTGAATGTGGACGCAGTCAGTTTATAATAATAATAATACTAATAACAAAAATATAATGAGGTTTATTTATAGTGTTTGTCATTAATACAGGGATAAACACATACATAAAAATCAACCTGCAGTTCCTTAACGGCCACTAGAGGCTCCAGCAGTGAGTCTCCATAAGGTCTTATAGTAAAATACTTTACAGCAGAAATAAACGTTTACAGCCCCTACTTTACGGTCTCTAGAGATAATTCCCCTGTTGATGACTGTACAGAAGGAGAATTTATATACAAGTCAGCCATTAAAATGATATTAAGGATTAATGTTTGCATAATTAAGGGCGTGGCTGTTTTCCAGGCTTCATTCAGCTCCGTGTCTTTTCTCTCTGTGACAGTGTGCATGATGTTTTTTTACTTAATAGGATAAACTTCTGTTTGACGTTTCATCTTTATAGTTTATTGTCTGAACCTGAGAAATAACCACCTTCGTTTGAATATAACAGATGGAAATAAATGTGTCACCAGGAAACAAAGATACCCTGAAATAAATAAAAGTCCTTAAATGAAAGAAAATGGAATTTATTTACTGATTACTGACTCATTAATATATAATCATAACAAGACTTCCTGCTGTCGTACGCGCAGGTCTTACTGCCAACAGTCGAGTTTCAAACTAAATATGTACAATCTAACATTTTCAGACAGAGATTATTTCCAGGATAGTTTTTATCATTTTATTAAATTTCCAGGTGTTTCCATGCCTGGAAAACTAGTCTCTCAATTTCCAGGTTTTCCAGGATGTGTCATCTTCAACCTTCAGGTCTCATGTGGAGTAGCTAATGAGCTAAACGCTATCATGTTGATGTGTAGCAGGTTTATGTTGTTCACCATCTGAGTTTAGCTTGTTACATTAATGTCTGAAGCACATTTCATCACAACCCATCCAACTCTCCACTCAGTTCACAGATTTATTACTGAACTCTGAACTTTAGAGGAAAGAAATGAAGCTCAGACGTAGAAAAGCTGGAACGTTTATTTTGATCACATTTTCAAACACATTTGTTTTGACGACTGAAAACGACTGAAAACAACTGAAAACTGGTTTCTGTGAAGAAAAACAAAGAAAAGATGTAAATCTGCTCGGTTGCTGTCATTAAATCAGACGTTCACTTGATTGATATGATATGGCTGAAACCTACGGAAGTCCTGAACCGCCATAAATGCAAAGATTTTTTAATCTTTTATCTCAGTACAACAAAGGTGAGGTTGATTAATCTGGACGGACTATGACGTACACACATTGCTCTGTCGGGTGTGTCAAACTAAACAACGTGACTTTATGAACTGTAGCTGTAAGAATGTTTGTAATGAGCCGTAATGTAAAATCCCTCATATCAAATCACAGAAGGGAAAACATCCTTTCAACCAAACCATTTCAACCTTATGATTCTTATAAAGTTTATTATCTCAAGAAATCTGCCTTTTGTTCTCGGAGATAAATTCTCGAGATAATTAACTCGCAATAACGGGATAAAAGAAGTGAATGATTGCATGACAGTTTAGAGCTTCCATATAAAGACATAAACGTTGATTATCAGGCTCCGGTATGAGAATGCAGCTGAGGTCTGACGTAAGACAAATGTGGCGTTAAAACGCAGCAATATTATCAATTAAAGAGACAATAAAGAAGATCACAAGCAAACAATCTTCACTAAGATCTCAATTTACTGATTAATGTTTACAACAAACTGGTCCAGAGTTTATTTAACAAACACTCTCTCTCTCAGACGCAACGCTATAGTTTCCCATTTTATAGTTTGCCAGCAAACGCAACGTTCCACATTTCCACCTAAAGTGACGATCAGCTCCGGATTGTAGTCAGCATTAACAGACGATCAATACTTATTGTGAAATGACACCAATAAGTAACTGCGGAGAGATACCGTTCAGACCCTTCCTAAGCCCCGCCCCTTTTTGCTCTGTTCTCCAATAACAGTTGAGCTAGCCTCGGACAACTTTTTTAAGTACAGAAAAGGAGGAAGGTGACCGAGGTCCAAAAAGGGGCGGGGCTCAAGAAGGGTAAATTGGATCGACAACCAAATCAGAGCAACGAAATCTGCGTCAGACGCTGTCGGGGCGAGTTTTAAGCGTTTAATTAAAGATTCGCTGAAGTTTATCGATAAAATATAAATGTGACAAAGTGCGAAAATTATTTTGTACGTTTACATCGTTTGACCTCTGACCTGGGGCTCTTTTAATCATTACCTCATCGTGTCGTCTTCTTCCTCTACAACGCTTTAATGTCACAGACCGGAGAATTAGCGCCACCTGCTGTTTATCTCTTCATACACAGCAGCCGTGGACGGAAACAAGAACTCATTTACATTAATTCAGATAAGATTCGTCTACTGAGTTTGTCGGTGAAGAAGTTGTTTCACTCTTTAAATGACAGATATTCACATATTCTGGAGGGAAAACGAGTGGATGTGGACGTCATTTTGGTGGGAAAACCACATCGAGCACACGTTATTGTTCCAGAGTTTCTGTGTCTGTGGTTGTCTTTAATATATTTCCAGTAACAGCAACAATAAAATATTTTAAAACTGCATAAAACTGCAGTGATGAAGTCTTCGAACTCGATTAAAGCAAATGTTTGATAAATGTTATATTCCTCCGCTGCACTTCAGAGGGAAACAGTTACTCTTCAAATCATGATTTCTAATAAACTAAATGAGCTGTTTACACATAAAGCATCAATAATGTAATAAATATAATAATAAAACTGAATGGGGCCAAATGAGGATTTCTACTTCTGTTACTTATTTGTACAATTTGACTTTTAGGTGTAACTTTTACTTATAACAGTATTACTTATTTAAGAGTCTTTTTTTAAATCTTCTTCCACTGTTGGTAAAAACATGTTGAACAGACGGCGCCCTCTAGTGACGTCTCAGAGCAAATACTTGCACATTTGATTTTATGACTCTTATTTAATGATTTCACTCATTTCTCCTCGTTTTATTATTCAGGGTCTTTTTTTTAACCTTTTTCTTCCTCCTATTAATCAATCATTCGATCACTGAACATCAAACTATGGACCGGAAGTCTGGACTCCAGTGTGATTCAGTAAGACATTATAATGAGAAGCTTTCTCAGAACTGTGTGATACTGAGTCATTATTGAGATAAAGTTTCTCATTATAATGTTCTACAGGATCCTTTTTGTTCCTGTAACAGACACAGTTGAGTTTAGTTAAGAGAGTTTGGCCCTCCCGTCGGTCAGTAGTCCTCCACCCAACCGTTCTCCATAATAAAAGCATCAATGACTTCCTTCATGGCGAGGTTTGGGATGAGCTGATCTTGGGTCAGGGGAGAGCGCGTCACCGGGTCAAAATGGCCGACTCGCTGCAAGAGAACAAACATTTTTTAACCTTTTACCACATTTTACCTCAGTTTTTGCCTCTAATCTCATTTATAACAGCTTAATACATTTTACTGATGATATACTTTTACTTGTAACTGAGTATTTTTACAGTGTGGTATCAGTACTGTTACTTCTTCCTCTTCCAGACCATCCACACTTCCTCCCACTGTACAACTGTTCAAATACAGTTGTTATCAGTGTAAACAGCAATAATTACTGTAATTTCACAGATAATGACTTTTATTACAGTTCTATAACTTTTAACATTCAGATTAAAATTTTAAATCTTAATTAAAGTCTGATTATTCACCAGTATTTATAGCTCACTGCATTGGTTTTACAGTGTAAATATCTTTAATTAAACATTAAAAAGACAAATAATTAGACATTAAATACAAAAATAAAGCTAAAAACTGTATTTTAAATATAGAAAATTACTGTATTATTGTTGTTTTACTTTATTTGTTTAGTGCTCCAGCTGCTGCAATATTAGTTAAAACACTTAAGAAGAACCTAAAATGCCAGAAACTGTCTGGTCTATTCAATCTATTAAATGCCACCAGGGGCAGACAGAGAGTCTATAGCTGTCTCGTTGTCCATCTTCACACATGTTGTTGTCATACTGAGCTCTAGTGGGGGGGGGTTCTTACCTGCAGGTGCTCTTCGATGTCTTTGCGGTCGTACGTGACCCCGCTGGGAGTGATACACGGCTCTCTCATCAACTCAAAGCTGATCTTTCCACACAGGAAGTCCGGGATCTCTCGCTTCTGTCAAACGCAACGCGCTCCGATTACAGTCATCATCATCATCATCATCATCATCACCGTTATTATCTTTAATAATGTCGCCATCCACACTGACCTTCCGCTTCTCGTCCACTTGACAGAAGAGCTCCTCCATGTCCGACAGATACTTGTCCTGTATGAGGATAAGAACAGGTTGACAGAGGGACAGACAGCGTTACCGGACTGTAACCGACTGCCGCACTCACACGGAGTCGGCGTCAGACCAGTTCAGATATTTTAACAACCGGATGCTGCGTAGCTCCCAGAAAACATCAGTCGGCACAACAAGACGCTAATAATGAAACAATGACATTAAATAATATACACCATTCAATTTTATCACCATAGCAACGTGTCGCCATGTGTGCCTGAACCCATGTGAATGCAGCACAAACAGGAAATGACAGTAAGACGATTTCTTCTTGTGAATGTTTAAAAGAAAGGTTTAAAAGTTCTGCGTTATGGATGAAACAACCTACGTGTTTGGTGTGGATCTCGTTCAGGTTGTGCTGAATTCTGCTGTCGTCCGACTTGTCTTCCTGTTTGTGTCTGCAGCTCTCCAGCTCCCTGCACATCCAACCACACACACGCTTTAAAACGCAGTAATTCAGGGGAGAGAACAACAATCATCCGTCTCAGAGCGACTCCACCTGCCTCCTCTTCTCCGTCTGGATGAGTCTGGTGAGGTAGGCGTGCAGCTCGCTCTCCTGGTTGATCCTCCTCTCCTCCAGGCTGCTCCACCGCTTCTTCTTCGCTATCCGCAGAGCGCTGGGAATGTCGTCGCCGAAGTTCAGACGCTGCTCCTTCGCCAGGTTGTAAGCTGGAAGGAAAACGCCACAGAAAGACGGCGGGATGACGGAGCTGCCGCGTACGTTACGGTGGGATTTTCGGCTAACCAGAGTCCGCCGTACCTTTCTGCAGGTTGCCGATGGCCTCGTCGTAGTTCTCCATCTCCAGGTGACACTGGCCCATGAAGAAGTGGGCTTTCACCGACTGGCCGTCCAGCTCCAGAGCGTGTCTGCAGTCGGCCAGAGCTTTACCGTACTGCTGCAGCTTCACGTAGCACAGCGCTCTGTTGGTGTAGTACGCCGGGACGGACGGACTGTGGGTCTGACAGACGGGGAGACGCGATGCAGACCTCAGTGTGTGGAGCTCCGGGTCTATCTGTAACCTTACTTAATGACTCTAACTTTGTTTATTAAATAATCAAATGAATTAACGGTTAAATGATGAACACTTTATTTATTGTGAACATTATACATATTCCAGCCAGCAGGTGACACTGGTTATTCTCAGTAACAGTCTGATTTAACACATAATAATAATAATAATAATAATAATAATAATAATAGTGTGACTCGGTGCGTACTATGGCTTTGCCGTAGCAGGCCGCAGCCTCCAGGTACTTGCGGTTGAGGAAGAGGCGGTTTCCCTGCTCCTTCAGCTCCTGAGCCGACAGCGAGGCGCTCTTCTCCGGGCTCTCTGACATCCTGTCCACGAGGCTCGCCGCGCCGGCGGCAGCCGCCACCTCGCTCTGCTTCCCTATCCTGACGCCGGGATCGGACGGGGTCGGGGGGGGCTGAGACAAACACACAGAGAGGTTCTTTAAAGGGATAGAGACAGATTCACTGTTCTCCAGTTCCTCTCCTCTCTGAAATTACTGACTGAACCACACACACACACACACACACACACACACACACACACACACACACGTCTTCCTGTCTCAATGTTAATCAGGTTTCTAAATAAATCAATAAATCAATCATTAATAAACACAGTCAGCCCACCTACAGGTTTAAGTGCACATGATATTCAGAATTTCCTGAACAGAAACTGTTCTTATTGCCGATAATCGATCAATAATTCATTATATTCTCTGAAGGTGGAGGCACCATCTGACATAACAATACTGTTATTATGAGCCTGTTTGTATTAATACCTGAAGGATTATTATTATTATTATGAAATAATTAGAATTTGAGTTAATGTAGTTTCAGTTTTATATTCTGATTTTAGAGTTTCAGACATTTTAAAATGTTAAAATCTGATTATTATTGTTTTATTCTGAGGGCTGGAATTTAATTTCACTGGAACAGATGATCAATAATCAATAATATTTCTATTATTGGTGCAGCAGTGTTTATCAATGTGAGCCGTCCCTGATCAATAACCCACTAATAAATAAACACTGGATTTATTGATCTGACTCAGTTGTCTGATAAACAGATCAATAATCACTTATTGATCAGGTATCTGCACACAGAGGGAATGTGACTGAATGTGTGTACAAACAACAACAACAACAACAACAACAACAGCTGTAAACAGTGTACTGGCTCTAACTACCTGTGTGAATGAACACCTGATCACTCTGATCGATCCCTCTGATCACTGCTAGCATGTAGCCAACGTTAGCTTCCTCTCTGATGTTTCTGAACTTTGTCCTAAACCGACTCTCCGTATGACGCAGTCGTTTTTACGGTGAAAGCTAACGAGCTTCCAACGAGGTCCCCGCGAGCACACCGACACATGCTACAGCCACCAATCAATAACCGATAACGTCACACATACCTGTTCGATCCGCCTCGTGCAGCTGTGCTAACTGTCCGCTGTTGCTCGGCAACAGCAGCTGGTCCTCGAGCTGGGAGGCTAACGAGCTAACGGTGGCTAACAGCGAGATCAATGCAGATGTTTTGATTTGGGTGTGCGACGTAAAACGCGTCATCACGAGGCACGCCCAACGTCAGCGTTTTTATTTATTAATTAATTTATTTTAGTTGATTTCATTAATTCAGCTTCAAAAATACGCAAATGAATTAAAATGAATAAATACAACTGATACAACAATTACATTAAAAATACATTATAGAAACTTAGCACAACAAGTACGGACATTGTGTTTGGTTGATTGTTTCTCTGTGGTAACAATACTGTGATACCGTTGGAAAGCCGGTTTAGTTCTCTTTCAGATGGTTCCCCGTTTGTAAGGAACATGCTCTTGTGTAATGAGCAGCAGATCTCAGTATGTCGGTTGTGCCCATGAAAAAACTGCCAAATCTTCTCTGCCAAAGTCAAACAGCTTATTCTGCCACTGACTCGTTTGGTTTGAAGAAACAAGACATATTGGCAATTTAACAGTTTATTCATTTCACAAACAGGAGCCTCAGTAGCGTGTGGAAGAACCATACAGCCACAACAGCCTACACCTCCTCCTCATGCTGCTCACCATCCTGGTCACACACTGCTGTGGGATGGCATCCCATTCCTCAACCAGCATTTGTCGCAAGTCAGCCAACGTGGTTGTGTTGGTCACTCTGGTACGAACAGCACGCCCAAGCTGATCCCACAAGTGTTCAATGGGGTTGAGGTCAGGACTGCTGGCAGGCCATTCCATCCTCTCCACTCCCACATTCAGGAGGTGGTCTCTGATAAACCCCGCCCTGTGGGGGCGAGCGTTGTCATCTTGGAGGATAGAGTTCGGTCCCAGACTGTGGAGATATGGGATTGTCACTGGTTGCAGAATCTCTTCTCTATATCTCTCTGCATTGAGATTGCCTCCAATGATGACACGCCTCGTTTTTCCAGTGAGGGAGATGCCGCCCCACACCATCACACTGCCTCCACCAAAAGATGTTATTCTATCTATCAGCAATCAGCATAGCGTTCTCCGCGTCTTCTCCACACTTCAATTCAATTCAAGATGTTTATTGTCATATGAAACAAAAGAAAGTAAGTTTTCCTCTGTGAAATGAAATTCTTTGCTGTGCTGTCCACCCTGATACTGAAGCATTGCATGCAAAGTACAATAGTAGAATACAATAATTAACAAAAACACAGTATTACAATAAGTACAGTAAGTAAACAAATAAAAGTAACTCAATATTACAGTAATTTGAAGTGTCTGATGTGCAGTGTGCAATGAATACCATGGGATGTGCAAAACAGTTGTGCAAGAGCGCAGTTGTAAACAGAAGTACAGGTGTAAGATGACAAGGTGGCACATTGATGTGGCTCCTGTTAAGGTTAAGGTTAGGGTTCGACCCTACGATCCAACTGCCGTAGGCAGAATCTGGACTCATCATTGAACATAACGTTCCTCCACATCAGGCGCCTGATTGGCAGCACCTGGGGGTACCAGAAGCTCCAAACAAGTGTCAATACCAACAGCAAAATAAGCTGTTTGGCAATGGCAGAAAAGATTTGGCAAATTTTTCATGGGCGCAACCCACATACTCAGCGCTGCTGCTAATCCCACAAATGCATGTTCCTTTAAAATGGGGCACCATTTGAAAGGGAACTAAACAGGCTTTCCAACGGTATAAGATTTATTGCCAAACAGTATTGTTACCACAGAGAAATAATCTACCAAACACAAATTTCCTTACTTTTTGTGCTAAGTTTAAATAAATACATTTGAATTTATCAGATGTCTATTTTTGTTTTCTTAAAGATGTTTACTTGTTGTTTTTTTATTCTTTGTTATGTATTAATTCTTTTCTTAAATCGTCCCTTTGAATGTGAACTGCTGTAACGTGGTATTTTCCCCCGGGATCAATAAAGTATCTATCTATCTATCTATCTATCTATCTATCTATCTATCTATCTATCTACTAAATGAATAAAATACAATGATTACATGAAAAAATTATAATACAAAATGAATACACATAATACAATAATTAAAACAATAAATAATACAACTAAATAAATAAATACATATAGTACAGTAATCACAACATTAAAGACTAATAAAAAAATCTAAGCAAAATTATATTTTAAGCCCATAAATATGATACACAGCTTTAAAACATTTTCACAGTGCTGCCAAACGTGAGTGGGTCCACCATAAGGATGTTTCTAGCTGAAAAAACATAAATCATTTTCAAATAATATAAATCATTGTTTATGTTAATTTATTTATTTATTTATTGTAAAAATGCTCTTTTAAATATGTAGAATCCCTAATTATTAATAAATATGTGAACACAGCGGGCAGAATAACACTTAAGTTGTCCCACCAGAAGGTTCGCCAGAGGTTTCCAGCAAAGAAAAAACTATTAATTAAAACAAGCTACAATAGAAAAGCTGTTTGTGCTCTTGTAGACGGGGTGTAGGAGGTTACATCCACAGGCAACCTGTATGTAAAACAGTTATTAGCTGATGAAGGTCGAAGGACTGAAACGTTTGTAACTTTAATGAAGTTTATTGAAAATAAGAAGAGTAAAGATTCTCTTCAAATACGTAGATTCACTGTTTATTCGTCTTCAGTATGTTTATTCTGCGTGTATCTAGTCCCGCAGCTTTGCCAGCACATACACAAAAAATACATCAAAATGTGCGGTTTGATCGGGAGAGGTGCGCTATGACTTTTGTTGGTGATCCGCCAAACTGTTTTCACGAAAATCGCAAAAAACTGCGCAAACTTTTGGTCTAATTGTGCGCTTACGGACGGAATGTTCGGAGCTAGAGTGTGTGACATCATCGTTAGAGTGTAGAGAAGCTGTAAAATCTAACAATAAAATGTATCTTTAAATTGCTCTCATTCCCACAAATTTACTTCTTCAGACATAATTTCTACATGAAAACTTAGGAAATGTTGTGCTGTTTCTACACAATGAACTCTGGAATCAAACAGATTCAAACTTTTGACGCACTGAGCTCCGGACCAACAAGAGTTCCAACCATCTGCTCCATAAGCTCCAATGTTAATTTACAGCAGAAATCTCTGGAGAAAAGCAAATGTGCCTGTTTTTTTAAATCGCTGTAACGGTCACATTTTTTACTTTATCCACACGTTCAGCAAAGCCTTGGGATGCTGACAGTCACCTCATGTCAACAGTATGGCCTGACAGTTTTTGAATTACAGCTTTTTGTTTGAGTGGTAGTTTCAGGGTTTTCTCAATGGTCCTCGGCTCTGACAATTAAAGTCTGTCTAATTTTATCTTTTAACCACAGGAACTTTAGTCTCTGATACACATCTACAACCATGCAGCAAATAATAAGAAATTAGATATTTTAAAAACAGAAATATGATTAATATTTTTTTTATTTGATTTTGATGTTATAATTGATTATATTATTATTTTTATTTAAGAATGTGGGAGGAAACCGAAGCACTCGGAGTAAACCCATGCCAACACAGTGAGCACTCTGTACTCCTCACAGTAATGGTGTCAAGGCCCAAAACTGAACCCTCACCTTATTGCTGTAAGGCCACAGTGTTTAACACTGAGGCACCTGTGTGGCCCTGTAAGACCTGGTCCTAGTTCTAGTCCAGGTTGGACACTGTGTGCTACCAGCCTTAGTTTAGCTGGTAGCACACTGTGTCCAACCTGGACATTTTTTTTTCATTATTATGTCAAATGTAGGAGAAACCGAAGCACTCGGAGTAAACCTCATGTCATCACAGTGAGCACTCTGTACTCCTCACAGTAATGGTGTCAAGGCCCAGAATTGAACCCTCACCTTATTGCTGCGAGGCCACAGTGTTTAACACTGAGGCACCTGTGTGGCCCTGTAAGACCTGGTCCTAGTTCTAGTCCAGGTTGAACACTGTGCTACCAGCTGAATGGAGGCTGGTAGCACAGTGTTCTGCTGGACAATTTTTTTTCATTATAATTTAAAATGCAGGAGAAACCGAAGCACTCGGAGTAAACCTCATGTCACCTTTGATTTCTTCTTATCTAAAATATGGGAGGAAACCGATGACTTACGAACTAAATGGAAATGTTGTTTGTCTTCCATGACAAAGTGAAGCCTGTCCCTCCCACGCGCCCCAAGACTGCAAATGATTATTATTTGCAGCCACATCTACAGCAGGCATTGAATGGTGAGGCCATGGTCTTGAAAAGACCTGTGAAGAACCTCTTAACCCCGGTCTTTTGTGGTGTCATCAGATGACTTTTTAGAGTCTCAGTTATAATTTTGTAAAGAAATTCATCATCTAACATTAGGCTCAGCCGCACTCCGTCTGCGTCACCCATCTTCTGGCACAGGTCCTTGTACACCGCCTTTGCTATGTTATTAATATTCTGTCTCTTTGGCTTTATGACCACAGCAGAATCTGCAAGATCTGCCCAGAGCCTCTGTTTGAGTGAGTTGAAGGCAGTTTTGGCAACAGGCACATCCATCTGCGAAACCTTCGTAATCCGGTTAAGCAGCTGCATCACCAAAAGCCCAGAGGACGTTTCGTCCCACTGGTGGAGACCATGTGCGATTGCGATTGCCTTTCCTGCAGGTTTACTGACCTTCTCACTGGAAGCCTTTCCTGCAGGTTTACTGACCTTCTCACTGGAAGCCTTTCCTGCAGGTTTACTGACCTTCTCACTGGAAGCCTTTCCTGCAGGTTTACTGACCTTCTCACTGGAAGCTGGCTCATCAGTGATGGAAGGAGGTGCTGCTTCAAACACTGGTGTCAAAGTTTCACCAGCTTCTTTGCTGATAGCTGGCTCAGCAACAGAAACTGGTGCTGAGTCTAACCCAAGTGTCACCGGGGGGCCCTCAGCAAGTGCCGGCACACTTACTACTAGTCCCTTAATCTTGGTCAGAGCAATGCTCATGTGGTCCCTCTTGGTTTTGCGCAGCTGCACTTGTTGGTTAAGCCAATTCCACATTTGTTTCATAAATGTATCGACTTCAGCTTTAATCTCGACCCGAAACTTCAACTCTCGCCCTTGTCTTAAATGAAAAAATACCAACTTTGTCAGCTGCATAGTGGCCATTTCCAATTGGCCAGTGGAAATGCCCCTAGCAAGTCTTTCATAAATGCACTCTATGTACCGTTCCATATCCATTTCTTGATGTTGAATCATATCCGCCACCACCTGACCCACCCCATCAAATAGCACCTCCACTGATTCTTTTTCTGCAGGTGGGAAGCAGCTACAGTTCCTCCTCAGTTTCTCCACCAAGTTGAGGATTGATGCCTTGGCAAATCTGTTGACAAAAAAGGCTTTAAGTTTCTGTCCCACCCTTCTCCAGCAGGACATTTTGGTTGACTTCCCAGTCTCCAGTCTCAGCTGCTCCACTATATCTCTGGCGATCTCAGAGGCTGTTGTGTCTGCATCCTGGCGGGCGCTTGACACGAGCAGGTCGTGTTCTTCCTGTGAACCTTCACTATTAAGGTCAATGGGACTGATAGCATCTGCCTCGTCCTGCAGGATCTTCTTCACAGCTTCAGTAGTATAATCCTTCCTTTCCAAGGTTTTTAGGTTATCTTCAACGGCGAGTACGGGGCTCTGCCACGACTCCCCAGTCAGCTTAGTATCCTGGTCAGCTGATTCTCCCAGGACTTCTGTACTTTCATCAGCTTCCATTTCATGACTTTCCATGTCATTATGCAGGCTTGAAGTGCACGTCATCTGTGGAAGACTGTTTTCTGGTTTGTCTTCTTCAAAGGGAAGAACGGTGATCTGCAGTGACCGTCCTTCATTCAGCTCAAAGTCTGATGATTCTTCCAGAATTTCTTTGGTTTTGTCAGATTCCAGTTTAGAAGTTCTCTGACCTTTCTTGTCACGCGGGCTGTTTTCTGGTTTGTCTTCTTCAAAGGGAAGAACGGTGATCTGCAGTGACCGTCCTTCATTCAGCTCAAAGTCTGATGATTCTTCCAGAATTTCTTTGGTTTTGTCAGATTCCAGTTTAGAAGTTCTCTGACCTTTCTTGTCACGCGGGCTGTTTTCTGGTTTGTCTTCTTCAAAGGGAAGAACGGTGATCTGCAGTGACCGTCCTTCATTCAGCTCAAAGTCTGATGATTCTTCCAGAATTTCTTTGGTTTTGTCAGATTCCAGTTTAGAAGTTCTCTGACCTTTCTTGTCACGCGGGCTGTTTTCTGGTTTGTCTTCTTCAAAGGGAAGAACGGTGATCTGCAGTGACCGTCCTTCATTCAGCTCAAAGTCTGATGATTCTTCCAGAATTTCTTTGGTTTTGTCAGATTCCAGTTTAGAAGTTCTCTGACCTTTCTTGTCACGCGGGCTGTTTTCTGGTTTGTCTTCTTCAAAGGGAAGAACGGTGATCTGCAGTGACCGTCCTTCATTCAGCTCAAAGTCTGATGATTCTTCCAGAATTTCTTTGGTTTTGTCAGATTCCAGTTTAGAAGTTCTCTGACCTTTCTTGTCACGCGAGCTACATTTCACCTTAGCTGCGCAATTCTTTAATATCTTCGCCACGTGTTTGACAATTGTCCTTAGTCTGCGGCGGAAGGATCCGGAGATTTGCGGTTCATTGCCTTCACTACTCCCTCCGCTGCTTCCACTCCTGCAGATCTCAGAGTTAATGCGCTCTGTCACTTCTTTCGACACAATTTGTGTCACCTTCTCTGTGCTCGGGCAACTGATTCCGTCGGACACACCCGTCACCTCTGCAAATGTAAGTTCAATAATGTCCCCTAGACACTCGCGGACCTGGTCTTCAGTTATTAAGCTCTTCTGTGATGCCTCAGATCCAGAAGAGTCTTCCTGTGATCCATCAGCTCCAACAGTCTGGGTCAAACACAAGTCACTCTTTACTTGTCTTTGTTTAAATAGATCATAAATGTGTGTAGATATAACTTTGACAATATCCACACACATGCTTGTTATGATTTCTGCTATCTCGATATCAACAGACCCGGATTCCAGCATGGACCACTGGATTGTGGTGAGCTGGTCCAGGAAATGTCGCACGAGTGGACGAAGAGTCTCCATTTGGACCGTTTGCAGTTTCCAATCCATCTTTCCTCTGTTTGTTGAATTTGTTGTATGTTGTGAATAAAGTACACAATTTGTCTGCTTGTCTCCTTGGAATGAAGTGAGCGTCCTGATGTGGTTCCTATATATAGACTCACAGAGAGAATGTCAGCGTCGTATCAAAGGAACATCCAACTGACTTTGATCTTTGAACGACATCATCGCATGACATCATCACATTCCAGATTTCAAAGCAAAAAAAAAAAAAGAATAAAATTATTTAATTCTAATGTTTACATTTAAAAATGCGCTCGCGCACACACACACACACACACACACAGAAATTCCAGAATTATATTAGGCCTACTTCTAAATAACAAAAAGGAAAATAATGAAAAAATGTATAAAGAATAATAAATAAAAACAAAAACCACTTCAAATGTGTTCGGTGGATTCTAAAGACCACAATTATTGCTTATTATTATTATTTATTCCCCATCGGATATTGTCGTCATTATCATCATTATCATTATAGTAACATGAGGAGGACACTGGCTTTGCTCTCTGTGGGAACGCAGCATTACTCTGGTATTATTCTTTTTATGATTATTATTATTATTATTATTATTATTATTATTATTATTATTATTACTCTGGGATGCCGCTCAGCTTGGAAGCACCAGTGAGGAGGGGAACTAAAGAAAGTAAAAGAGGAAAATGAACTACCAGGTGAGTGGAAAAAATATGTGGCTGTTACTTGATTCCAGCTGAATATGTCTCTGTAGTGCAATTGGCCAAATGTGCTCTGCTGTTAATTGAGAGGTTGGTGGTCTTAAAACTTTGTCTATTTTATACAATTTAACCTCCCTAGTCCCTTGAAGCTTAAACTGTCTTTCCACAGCCCTCAGAGGTGCTTAATTTTACCTCCTGATGCTCCTAGAGCCTGAAAGTTAGTTGGTTTTCTTTATTGTGTTACATTACAGCAACATCTGCTGGTGCTGTGGCTTAGTTGGTTAAAGTACCTGTCTAGTAAAGAGGAGATCCTGGGTTCAAATCCCAGTGGTGCCTTAAAGTTCCTTAAAATAACTTTTGTACCAACCGATGTTGAAAGAGTAGAACACAACATATTTTGACTGAAACCAGTCAACTCCACTCTGTGCAGCCATTGGGCTGCTAACTGAGAGGTTGGTGGTTTGAGCCCAGCCTGCGACAAGCCAACACTCTTCCTCTGAAGCATAACTTTTAGGCTTTGCCTGGACGATATACTAGTTGGTGTCAGTTTGTTGTGACTAAACTCAGAGTTAAGATTTTATGCTTATTATTTCCTAAAATTAGATTAAAATATTGCCAATATATCGCCTTGTTTACAATGTATTGAACTGTAACCCCTGTGTTGTGATCCCTATCACCAGCCAATACACAGACCTAGCTAGGTAGCATATATATTTAAGTAATTTCCCCTTGGGATTATTAAATTATTTCTGATTCTGATTCTGATATAGCTAGTAACTGGTTGTGGTTAACAAAACTAACATTTCTTTTCAGTGACAGTGAGAATTTGTCTATTGCTTTTATAGGTAGTAGAAGTAGAGACAGGTACATGTTTTGCAAGATGGTTTATTATACATATTAGCAGTTTGAATTCAACTAAAAGCTCCCTGCACCAAACTCCCTTTAAGAAATGTCACATTTTAACGTGTGCGTAAAAACATGCAGCATGAGCTAAAGGCGGCCATATGCATTTATATCTTTATGGGTCACACAAACAAGCAAAAAGTTGCAAAGCGAAGATGAAGCAATTTGCACACACACGTGGCCGCGCCCTGAAACTGCGGATGTCTCCAGCTCGGCTCTGCAGGGCGATGTTTCTCAACTCTCGCGAGAACCGAGCATCCGAACTACTTCGAACTTCGGGTCCTCAGCAATCGATCCGCCGAGTGGAAAGGAGATTGGATGTCGAACGTTTTTTGAGAAACTCTAAAGGATGGATTCCTTCCTTTTTTTAGTCAGATTTCATTGCTATATTTTCAGCATATCGACTTATCCACACCACATATATGTAAGTCAGAAAAGAGGCGACAGTTAGAAAGTAGAGGACAAAAAACACAGAGTCTATGATTTCTGCCACTCGTCTGTAGCGTCGAGACTTTCTCTGGTCTGTTTCTCGTCCTTCAGCTTCCCGCCGAGCGGCCTTCACTTCCTCCAGGATCAGTTTGAGCGCATCAAGACCAGCAGACCTGTCCAGAGTGAGGGGGCTTTTCTCTGGTTTCCTCTGACCTTCCTCTGCAGCGCTGGCAGTCTCTTTGAGGGAAAGATAATTCAGCAGAATGAGCTCAAGGAAAAATTAGTTCAATGTCTATATGTACTTGCAGAATTTTTGGCGCGTAATCAGTGTTTTTATACTACCAATGTATGGAATGACAATGTGAAGGAGAATAATTACGTGAATCTGCAGCTTCCCCTGAACCTTACGGATTTAAAGCAACATTATTTAACTTTTTTTACCTTAAAATAACAGTTTCACTTTCATTTGGATTTTACTCTGAGTTACAATAAAGTGAACACTGCCTCTGTTGGGAGTGTAAGAGCTTCAGGTTAACGTAACCGGGCTCAGTTTTTATCATCCACGTCGGTGAATTAAAGATTTATTTCCCCCAAACCAGAGTTGGTGATTGTTGAAATCACTAACTTTTAGTGAGTTTTATTATGTTTCCGTCCTGTTGTTCTGGTCTGAGATGCTCGTATATAAAACCTTTAACAAACATAGAAACATCAATCTTTACCTTTGTCAAAGTCTGCTTCCAGCTGAATCTCCTCTTGGGCGTTAACAGAGCTTCGAGTCTTCTGACCACAATAACCATCGAGGTCAAATAGGAAGCTCACCAGCATGGCCTCCAGAAGGCTGATCCCCACCAGGGCGAAGGTCACAACACAGTAGACGGCTGGAATAAAGGTGCAGGGACATTAAACTGGTGAGTGTATCAGTACGGAGGACTCTCTGTGATCTCTGGTGTGAGGTCGGCGGCTCACCCATCATTGGCAGGTTTTCTTCAGTTGAAGGCAACATGTCCTGAAGGATCAGCAGTAAGACGGAGATGGAAAGGAGGACGGTCACTTTGAAGCTCAGCTTTTCTCCTCTGGCCTCGCTGATGAAGAAGGAGGCCAGATCCAGGATCATTAAATAGAACAGGGGCACGATTAAAATCACCACGTAAAGCATCGGCTTCCTCATCATTATGATCTGAAAAACAGAAAAAGAGTCAGATTAATTAGAGACTTTGAAGAACAAACTGTTGTCAGATTTCATTACAAATATTTTCTTACCGTGTAAATAAGTTTGCTTTGAGCTGTGCCGCCTTTTGTCACATTAGGAGCGGAAATTTCCATTGTTACAAGGTCCCATTCTCCCCGTGTGACCATGAACATCTCAGAGACTCTAGTGAGAGCTGTGTCATTATGGGCTGTTCCTAGGTGCATGACTCCTGCTGTATTGGTGATAAAAAGTATTAAATTATCACATATTCTGAAGCCGTTCTGGATGTGAAACAAATGAGGTGCAATTTACCATCAGAGGTCATGGACAAAAATGTGATCGTACACTTCTGTGTATCAAAGGGGAAGTCTCTGAGCTTCATATGACAAGTGAAGGTCAGCCGCTGACGAGTGGTCACGTACACCCAACCATTGGACACTTGACCAAGTGGACTTCTGTAAATACTCGAAGTATCAGAGGCACTGAAGACAAAGAGGGAATTAAAAGGTAAAGAAATATTCTCAGAGTGGAGCTGAGTGGGTGGACAACGTTACCGGGCTCAGTTTTTATTATCTACATCAGTGAATTAAGGACTTATTTCCACCAAACAAGAGATGGCCGATGGTTGGAAGGACTAATATAGATGAGTTTTTTTTAGTTTGAGTCCAGTTTGAAGTGTGTGTTTTACGATTATCTGCAAGGTTAAATCAATGGGTTTGTCAGTGGAGTCTGGTCACATATAGCCGCCTTTGGTTTGGTTGGAGGAGAGAAATGTTTTCAACATGTTTGTAAGAACTCAAGGATACAGAAACACTGATTGTACTGTCTTTATTTTTCTTACCTGGACTTTAAAAGTTTGAATTAAAATGTTTTGGGCTTTGAATGGTATAAACTCTGAGTAGATCCCGTCTGCTAGAGGCTCAGGTTTGTTTACATTGAGCTTTACCTTTATAAATCACCTCTGAATAAGATCAAAACCATAAACTGCAGTTATGTTATTAATAATTATTAATACAGTAATAGTAATAATACATACTCCTCTAGGATGGATACATCTGGGGTCCACAGGCTCGACATCGGAACGGTAAACTTCTCTATCCCACAAAAGTCTGATGAATTCCAAGTCAGGAATTCATTCATCCAACTCTGGGAAAAGAAAACGTTTTAAAACTGTTTATGACAGTAAACTTACAGCTGATGTATTGTTTAATAATGCACTTCAGTTCTTTGGCTCTTGAACTAAACATGAACTTACCATCTCAATCCAGATGTGACTGGTGACAGTTTGAGACATCTCATCCTGCAAAACAAAACAGGATCTCTTTTAAATCAGAGCGGTTTCTATCCATGCAGACAGGTTTGGGGGCATTTTCTCAGGATTTTTAGACAAACGCTGATAAAACCGTTAACTTAAATGTACTAGAATGAGTTTTAACTGGTTATAAAACAGTTTAATACAGATTAGTCTGTAAAGAGATCGGCTATTTTAGTTATTCTTACTGTGGATTCCCCTTGAAATCAATGAGTGGACCTATCGTGAAGGACTCACTGAGAATGAGCTGTCAATCACAAGGTAGCCCCGCCCTAAAGCATACCCTGCTTTATGGTCTGTTTTACTCTAAATGGGACCATCAGTTACTAAATGAACATCATGCTGTATGGAAGAAGACTGAAACTAGAGACTGAGACCAGAAACTCATCAGGAAACTGTTTACTGAGCTCATCCATCAACTGAGAAGTCGACTCATTTCTCCATAAGACTGAATGGTAATGGAGCTGCCCCCTGCTGGCCGTTACATAGACTGCAGGTTTCACAGACCTGGAAGCTCTGTCTGTTATATTTACTGTCAGTGGTTGCTGTTTTAAGTGAAAGTTAAAATTCAACCATGTATAAAATGATGGAGCTCTTTCACGTCAACTTAAAAAAAAAAATATATATATAAAAAATAAATACGTTTTTGTTTCCAGCTGAACGAATGTGAGTCCTGATCTGATGCTTGTATTTTCCTACATAATGCAGTTGCACAGCGCTCACATCAAGTACATTAAAGTTAATAAAATCCATTAAGTTGTTATTAGTTATGTTTGACGACTGAATAGATCTAAAATACATTAAGAAAGAAGCTGTTTCTTTTTGTTTTTCATTTTCGTTTTTAACAAAATAAGTTTCTTATCTTGCTGTAAAATCAATTCAATGGAATAAAAGGGAGAATATTTCTGTCTGAAATGCAATAAGTAAAATATAATTGGAAAAACTCGAGTGAAGTACAGTAAATACAGCCTCCTTTAGTTACATCCCACAATGGTTTTGGGTGAGCTGACCCTTAAACAACACGTACCACTTGTAAAATACCGTACATCAACATGTCCACCTGAACGAGGGTGGATGTCGTCCAGTTCTTCACGGGCCGCATGATCTGTAGAACATCATTCGTCGATGTCAGGTTCAAGTGTTTCAGAAGACCCAAATAGGAGCAGTCTGAAGTCTGACTGCTGGAAATACCTGCCGGGGGAAGAGACCAGGATCTGAACCTGCAGGAACTGATACAAACAGTTGCAATGTTTTATGTGATAATAAAGTTAAATTTAACAACTCACCGATGAGAGCAATAAAAGCTGCAACCTTCAGAGCTGACATGGTTGTTTGCCTTCATCTCAGTCTGAACAAACCCTTTTAAACTGCCTCACAAAGAACAGGTGAACAATACAACAGGTAAGTGCGGAAGAAGGCATCAATAGATCTAATTAAAGGCGCCGTTCTGCGGTCTGTCGTTGGAGGTCGTTTCTATTGTCACCCTGCAGCTGAAGAGAAAAGTCAACACGAGGAGTTCTCAGTGTGACATCAGAGTGCACGCTGGAGATTTTAATTAGAGGATTTAAATAAATAACAATTCAAATCAAGGAGAATGTATTTTATTTTACAGAAATAATAGAAAGTTTTACACATACAAACATCATCAGTGTGTATTAATTAATCAACCAGAAACACTAATGTAGATGTAACCGTCTGTATTTCCAAAACAGATTTGATGCCAAATGTTAGCTGAACGTTGAGTGAAGTCAGTTTATCCTTCCAATAATCCAATATTTAAAATAAAATAATACCCAGGTTTAAATAATCTGAAGGGTTGAAACACATATTTCCTGATAACCGTTAATTTCACATCTTTTCTATCTTAAACATAAGTTCTTAACGTTCTCACACACTCAGAAAGGCTGAAATTAGCGAGCAAAGATGGATGATTTAATATTTAATATTAATATTTTATAACTCTGATTGACAACAAACAAACAGTTGTGACTCTCAGATTGTTGGTTTTTTCTAGTAAAGTTCATCAAAAACATTCATAGAACATAAAGCTGTCAATCGTTTTGCATAAGAATTCAAAATTAATTATTATTATTAAATATAGGTATAATCCATTATTATACATTTCCTGTTATTAGCTGATAATTGAACTAATTTCCAGGCATTTGACTGGAAACATTTCTTGTATCATAGGTGTTGTAGCAACCATTTATTTCCCACTGGGAATAAATAAATCTAGAAATAAACATATCTTCTTGTTGTTGCTGTAGAAAATAAACAATAACAAGTCTTTAAAGTCAGTTTAATAGTTCGTATACGTCACTGTGATCGGTCCGTTTGCCCCAAAGTTAAATAGAGAAAATATCTTTTCTCTTTAAAAGCTCCGCAGCCTGAAAACTGACAAACCCACTGTTGTAATTTAAACACTTCAGCGGTCAGAGGGAGCATCAAAAACGACACAGTCGCAGACGGCAGAGCAAACTCCATCAGGAGTTGAATCTCTGGCACACAAAAGAACCATCTGTAACATCAACGACTGGTTATATTTTATTTTTCTACGTCCCGCCAACCCAACAGATTTATTTAAAGGTCCTGGATACGCGTTGGTACAGAGAGGTTTAGGGGAACACATCAGTGGGCAGCTGGAAGTCTTTGAAGGTGTAGAAGGAGATGTCTCCGTAGTCCACGACAGCAAAGACCACCGGGACGTCTCCGCTCTGGAAGGCCAGCAGCTTCATAGCTCGCAGGTCAGGAACAGGGCCGTCGAAACTGAGACGCAACAGGGAGGAAACGATGGTGGCGGTTTAGAGAGAGACCAACATACTGTTCAGGGTTTCTGCAGGTTCAACTTAAGACCTTTACATACACAATTTAAAGGACCAGTGTGTAGGAGTCTGTATTTGACGACCTGGGAATGAGAACGGGCTGTGAAGTGTGTCAGAGAAACTTTGGTCGTTTGGTTTGTCTGTTCTGGGCTACTGTAGAAACTATATATATATATATATATATATATATATACAATCAGACCCAGTGGGGGTCCGGTCCCTCAGGTTGGGAACCTCTGAATTAGTCAATTAACAGATTAAAGTTTCCAGGTTGCTTTTCTTTTGGAAATTTTGGATTTGTTGGTCGGAAACAAAAGACTGAAGACGTCACATTGGGTTCAAGTTGTGTTGAGCCTCAGTTTCTGTTCAGATAAAGATAAACACTTTATATAAAGGTTTCATTTATTCAGATATGTGTGACGGATCATTGCAGACATTAGATTTCGTTGGATTCAGCAGTGGACACAAATATAAGTAAGTTTAATGTAAATGATGTAAGAATTATTAGATTTAAATAATCAAGAGATGTATGTATCACTGAAAGGAAGATGAGACAGAACATTGACCTCCAACCACTGTGTGATATTATATTTCAGCCACAGGCACTTTGTTTGAGTGCCTACCTGCACACACACATGCGGGCGTAAGGTTTCCCCGGGTTGCTCTTCCTGAAGTCAGCCACTGAATCCGGTTGGTAAACATTGAAACAAATCCTCCACTCGTCTGAGCCGTTGAACCTGAGCGGAGACAAAAGCACAACGTCGTTCGCTGAATGACGGGTCGCTCCATCACAGTACAATGCATCGGCCTCGCTGTACGGGAGCGCGGCCGGGCGGCGGCAAACACTCAGTCTTTATGGGTTCATAAATTAAAGATCATGAACTGTGATAGCAGAGAGACTCACATAAAGTCCACACACAGGGGACTCAGAGCTGATGTTTTATAATCAGTTCACATAAAGGAGGTGCATGAATATGGATTATATTTGTTCACTGGTGAGTCATAAGTTGCCTCTTGCACCCAGATTTAATCTGCAGTGTACAACCTTTAAATACCACAAAGAATGAAATTTAATACCATTCTTATGGTCAATAATAAGAAAATGTGAATGCTGAATGTCCTGCTAACACCAACATAAAGGCCTGTTTGGGAACCGGTTTGAACCCATAACAGTTAACTGAATGTGAGGCTTTGAGGCTTGTTTTAACCTATATTCATTATGTTTTGTCACACTGGCGCCACTGAGGATGCAGAATCTTCTATAAGCAGCTCCTGTTTGCAGTAACACCCACTGACGTACAGACAGCGATCACTGGATACTGAACCTGATTATTGTGAGTCCTGAAGAGTCTTTTAGCAGATACTGTCATAATGAGCCATTTATTGCTATTTATATTATATATTTCTGCGGTATATATTAACTCAGTGGAAGCAAATTGATGTTTACAGTAACAGTTCGAGGTCTTGGACTAATAAAATCCTGTCAGACTGTAGGATCTTTAGGTTATAGTATATAAAACAAGTGATACCTGGACACTCCCTCCAGCAGATGTGTAGGTTTAATCACACTGATTTTGTCCAACAGTTCCCCTGGAATAAAGAGCAAATGTCACTGAATCAGGTGAGTTAGATACAACTAAAGCTGAGCAAACACTCAACGATTTATTAATAAAAGGATTCGCTTCAGTAGATTACGTACAAAGTCAATGTAAATTAATGTGAATAGACAAAATGTTTTGCTGTGTGACGCGAATGGTTTCACACCAGCGTCTGCCCGGCTTCATCGATGCAGATTCTAATCTAGAAACTTTATTAACTCTGAATTTACAGACTAGGTCCATGTGATCTCACCGGTGGAGATCGGTCGTGTTGGGTCATGTAAAGGCGTGACTTCCCTTTTCCACAAGTGTGCCGGTCGGCCTTTACGCTTCTCCTGCCGCCTCGCCAGGAGCTCGTGGTACTCGGCCCAGTTTCTGCACCGACGAACCTTCAGAGGAAACAGACGGAGGGATGGTTCGGATCTTTCTTCCTGAATTTGTGTGGAACTTTTTTCAGATGTTACGTTACCTCTCTGTCTTTGTTGACGTCGCACCGGTGCCGCCGCTCGTCCTCTTCCCTCTTCTGCTCCTTCGGGGACATCTTCACCTTCCGCAGGTTAATCCTCTGCCTCCAGGGGGTGACGTCGCAGACCCCCACAGTCAGACCCTCAGGGAGCAGAGAGGGGTCCGGAGGGAACAGGCAGCCGGAGAGGCCCTCGCTGGAGCCCAGGTCGGGGAACGAGATGGAGCTGAAGTGCCAGCGCGAGCGACCGGAGTCGGGTCGGTGATCCGATCGGCCCCCGACAGGGTCCGTCATCCACCAGGTCCTGCCCCCGCCTCCGTCTGCTGAACCTGCAGCGACGGTCCCTGAAGTCCCCGGAGACGACGTCAGTTCTTCCTCCATTCTGTCAGCCGGGGAAACATCAGAGGGACTACAGAACAAAGAACACTTACAGACAGATATCGACAATATCAATAATTTGTTCTATAATAGAAAAAAAGAATAGTCCTACTTTCTATTTCTTTTTCTTTATAGGGCAGTAGTTGCGTAATAGAATCAGAATTTGATGCATATAATTACACACATACATACAGTACATATAACTGCATTACATATTAATTTCTGTGTGTGTATTTCTGGCAGGAAAAAGGTTTTCCTTGTTTATTATCAGCTAAAAAGTTCTAAATGTTGTTAATAACTGTTCAATAGGCTCTAAAGTATCATTCAGATGAATGCATTTACCCTGATGGGGTTACACAGACAGACGTCCCTGGTGCACTGTACAGTAAAGAGGGCGGGATCCTGTTTACCTGGATGTGGCGGCGGGGCTGGCGCTGCGCTTCCTCTTCACCTGTCTCACTGCTCTGTCTCTCTGTGACTGCGGGAGGTTGAGCTGCCTGGAGTAGGACGACGGCTCCGAACTGTAAGACACAACAACCACATTCAGGGTCCAGAGTTAACAAACCACTGCCGTCCCCGCGGCTCCACCGATACTCTGTCTGAACGGGGCATTAAGATTCTGTCACCTGGGATCGAACCTGTGCACCACGTAGCCGAGCCTCTTCAAATGTGCAAACACCTTTGTGATGAAAGAAAGAAAGAGTTGTTAGAGCGGTGCAGCAGTGCAGTCCTCCGTCAGCGTGTGTGGGCTTCTATCTGTACCTGATACTGCTGCAGGCTGACGCTGCTGGAGGACAGAAACCGCTCATAGCCGTCCTGGATGGACAGCGGCAGGTCCCGGTAAAACACCTGCAGGTTGCCCTGGAAACGCAGAGCATCAGTGTGTCACACAGCGAGGGTTAAATATGAAATATAATATAACATAAAGAAAGAGCTGTTATCTGCCACTCACACACTCCAGCAGGTACAGAGCCTCTTCAGGGAGGAGATGCTGCTTGCCGTCGGCAGAAAAGCCCATCGTCTGCCAGAACTTTCCCTACGCACACACGTTACCATGACAACAATCTGACTCACTTATTATTGTGTTTACAGTTTGTGTCACTTACACCTGGTGTTACAATCTGTATCACACATCGTCCAGATAAAGAGAAACTCACGTTAATGATCATCTGCAGGTAGTGTGCACGGTGGTTCGGATCTTTCAGATACATTAAATATACTGTAGGTGGTTGTTTATATTTAGAGACGCGCCTCTGATTAGTGCTGGATCGATTTAGAGAGCAGAGCAACCGGTTGCTGATATATAATGCTGATAATAGAACAAAGAAAAGCCAGGTATAACTCTATTATTCCATGTACATTAATTCAATTCAATTCAATTCAATTCTATTTGTGTAGCACCAATTCATAACAGAAGTTATCTAAGGACACTTTTCAAATAGAGCAGGTCTAGACCGAACTCCTTATAACATTACATTACAGTCTCATATACATTGTTACTTTAGCCAGTAATAAGTTGTTTTAGATGGAATTTCTATTAATGAATAAAACAGACAAATACACTGAGTTATGTTGTAGATTTCAGGTAAATAAGGTCATTCACTGCATTATTATTACACTATATATATATCTAACATCAGCCGGTAACGGCTGTAGATCAGATTATCTGTCAGTTAGGACGAGAGAGAAGTGTAAACATTTAGAAAAGACGATGGTGAGGACATTGATCGTTTACAGCAGGATGAGTGAGAGTTAGAGCCTCAGAGTCGAGCGCTAACTCGATTCCCTGCACCACGCACGCCCAAACGACGCGTCCTACGGGTGGAAATGATAAACAGTAAGAAATAACAGTGTGTTCTTACATTTGCCGAATTTACAAAAGGAGACACGTAGTTAAGAATGTGTCTCAGGCAGCGTTTCACAACCTTTCTAAAGTTTCCTTCCTGATTTGCTGCCACTCGCAGGTTTAAACACAAAGGACAGATCAGATCATTGATCATCAGGATGTCTGGATACAGTGTAAGTCAGTGATAAAGTACTCACAGCTGGAGACTGGAGCTCCACTATCTGCTCACTGGGAACCCAAACGGCCTTCACCAAGTTTCCCCTACAGAGGAAGAAAACACAGCATCAACTGTACTGACCTCAGATCAGTGCAACACAGCATGGACACATTATCTCCTTATAAAGTAATACTGACACACACACTGCTCACACACACACACACACACACACACACACACACACACACACACACACACACACACACACACACACTCTGCACACACACACACACACTCCTTTAGCTCCAACTCCTGAGGGAAACATCTGGTTCTTTAACTACACTTGTTGAAAACAGCTGCCTGTTGAACCGAAATGTGACGGAAATCCAAATCTGTGAGCTAAAAGAGGCAAAAATAAAGCTCTGTGATAATGTTTTATTTTTACTCTTCGTGCAATCATTTGACTCATTATTAATACGAACATACTGACTGAAGGAGCCTTAAATATTTCCTAACTTTCAGCTACTGTCCACTTATTGTTCTGGACTATATTCAGCCTGTAATCCATCACTGTTCACATTTACCTTTATCTTAATATTAGAGTGCAGCTGCTTTAAACTCTCCTCTTCCTTTATTTGACCTTTATTCAACCAGATAAGTCAACTGAGAACCAATTCTACATTAACAATGACGACCTGAACGAGAGACGGGAGGAAAGTCGATACGAGACATTAAAACATAAAACACAGAAAAACAATATTAAAGTTCAAATATGACAATAAAGACACAACAACAGAGATCTATGGACAGAAGTAATCTGATACTGGAGGAGTGGGAGGAGAGTTACTGACTGCAGAACACAGGTTACAATGATGATGCATTCAAGGACAATCAGAAACAACCAGTCTTGGGAGAAAACATCCTTGAGTGCATCAGTAAGGAGTGATGTTAGGAGCTGAGCGTGCGGATCATACATCAGTAATTATCCCTGAGGACAGACAGACAGACGGACGCTACGTCTACTCACAGCTTCTCCACTCTCTCCTCTGAGACGAGGCTCCAGTGCTCCTTCAGACTCTGCTCGAGTCGCCGTCTCTGCTCGTCCGAGTCGTCGGGGAAGAAATCCTTCTGTCCTCTGACTGGGATCTTGTGGCTCCGGGATCGGGCCGCGAACAGCTCCGACGGACTGAGATTGATAAAAGGAAGACGACAGCATTCAGCTTCAGACAGTCGATGCTTCTTATCACCAGATAAAGACTGAAACTGGAAAATAAACTGATCAATTATTGTTTTAAATTGATCTTTCTACCAATATCTTATGGATATTTCATATTATATTCAGTGTATAACAGTAACAGCTGATGAACTCAGATTATTATGTTACAGGATGAAACACAGCTGCATGTGACGGTTTATTTCCAGCTCATTATGAGTCATGAAGTTGTGACTGACTGTCACAGACAGGTTTTATTCCTTTAAAGATCAGTCAGCTGCATTAAATCATAAAAACATCAATACAATGAATATTACAATTATAATATTTCATTAACATTTCCAAGCGTTCCAGTAACAGACCGGAGGATGATTCATGTTTATAATACTTTCTGTAATGTTTTTAACATATTAAAGTAATTAAAGTGTATCTCTGTTTATAACAGATTGATTTTAGAAGTGCTATATCTAGAAATTAAAGGTTTTGAATAAGAAAACCAAACCTACAATCCTATAGACTATATCTAAGATTATAACACTTTATAGTAAATCCTATAAGATTATAACTGATCACCACTGGAACTACAGCTCCTTTTAGAAGACTTTATGAGGGTTTAGAGGCAGTAGTCGTATAGAAATCCTACAGGATAAAGTGCTGTTGGACTTTATCTTATAGGACTAAAAGTAGAATTCCTTTTATTAATCATTATAATGAGAATAATGATTAAACAACTTCAATTATTGACTTATTATCTCAAAAGAATGAGAAACTTTATCAATATTTTGACTTAAAGAATCTTTTTTTGGTGAAAATGTGCTTCCATACTTTATGATTATGGTCCTTTTCACACACAGAGAGATAAAAGTAGAATATCGATAACAATAATTATTGATTAGCAGCTGAATATCTTCACTTTACTAACCGACAGTTAAATGAACTGTGAGCTGTTTAATAAACAACCACACAGCGACTCAGTGTGAAACTGATTGATCCCAATCGATAACTGTATTGATAAGTGCCAATAGAGAGAAGAAAGCACCTTAATATTTCACTGAAGAACTTCTCTGCGCTGTCTGTCTTGTTGTGGTCCGCCATGTTTCCCCGGCCCTCCCCGCTGCAGGTCTCCTCTGGGTCCTAACGCCCGTTCAGTCACAGGATGTAGTAACAAACATGGCCGCCAGAGAGAGCTAAAGGTCATCATTCAATCATCATTTTAAGGATCTATAATGTCTGCTCATGTTCTTATCTTTCGCCTCCCTCCAACCCTCCCAGATCCCCAATCCTTCTCACCATCTTCCTTTTCTCCCAGTGTATGGGACTACTTTATGCATGATTAACTGATATGGATGAATATCAAAATATGAAGCCCTAACCAAGTTGTGTAAACTAACTGATCATGTATTTAAAATGCAAGTTATTCTGGTAAACAGTTCTAAAAAAAACACAGTTCTAAGAGCACAATAAACACGACACAAGTTGACCCAACAAAATCTGATTTATTTACATAAATTTATATAAAATCATTCCTTGTTTGTTTTCATCTGTCATTTTCCAGGACTCCCTGGAAGAAGAGATCCTGTATCTATATAACTCTTCTCATCTGTATCTGGACTGAATTTTACAACTTGACAATTAATTCATATCCATTCATTTATATAGTCATGTTTTATAGTAAAAAAAAAAAAAAATGTACCTATGTTGCCCTTTTTTTTATCATCCATCTGACCAGTAGACTCAACAAAATCATGAAAAATATTCAATTCAATTCAATTCAAATAGTTTATTTCAAACCAATCAGATGAAACAAATACCAACCAACAACAAACAAAAACACCAAACAGAAACAACCACCTGGGTTTGAAATGGGGATGGAAGAAGCAGAGCTGATCTAACTCCAACACCAGTTGTCACAAATTCTATCAACATCATCAACAAGTAGACTCAACAACATCATGAATTCATATCCATTCATTATACAATCATGTGAGTATTGACCACTACACTCACAAACTATCATAACTAGTCAAATGAGCCAAAGGTGTGTTTACAAGTTTCACTACCAGCAATAAATTGCTGACAGAGATTTGGTCTATCCAGCTCATCAACCTTGTCTCTGTGTACCTGACACACGACAACACTGTTCAGTTGTTCCTGAGACATGGTGGCTCTAAGCAAGGTTTTAAGACTTCTCAGGGTGCTAAAACTCCTCTCTGCTTCACAGGAAGATGCTGACACTACCAATAAAAGTCTAACCAGAGCCTCCACTTGTTCAAACAGTCCCCGCACCTCTACAGGCAGTTCCCTGAGTACCTCTGCTGCTTCCTTACTGCAGCTGAACTCATATTTACTCTTAAATAAAGGCAACTCAACAGCAAGAGAACCTCTTTTCAGCTCAGGGTACTGGTCTACCACATCATCCACCTGCCCAGTGAGGAGCATATTCTCCAGTTTCTGCAGATCCTTAAAACTGTCCTGATCAAAGCGTTCAGCAAATTGAGCATCCACAGTATCGAAGACCTTGAAGAACTCCACACGGTAGTAGTCAACTGCTTCACCAGGAAAGCGTCGGCGTTTGGCACCTCAATGGGTTGTATCTGTGCAGACTCAACCACTGCAGCATTTGCCTTTTCAAAAAGGGTCACAGTGTTGGTCACTTCGTTTCTCCTGGAAAGAGGAGCGGACACAGTCGACGGCTGCCAGCATACCAGAGACAGTCTGGGTTCTCCTCTGCAGGGATTTGTTGAGGCATTCAAGCTCTCCTACCACAGCAGAAGCGAGTGTAAGACTGTTTTGCCCTTTCTAAAATGCTCTGCTAAGCTGCTGGCACTGGCTGCAGATTTGGATGTATTACCAGCCATTTTATGCAAGCTGCAGAGAACTCTGTCATACTGAGTAAGCACAGCCTTAATGGCTGTGTCCCAGACTGTCCACCTGGTTGGGCACAGCGGTTTCAAGGTTGTCATTGGCTCAGATGTCTGCAAACATGGCCTTGAATTTCCCTGACTGACCAAAGAGCACACCCAAAAGAGTGAGTCCCGGATCAGTGGGGAGGCTGAGCAGGCAGCCTGTGTAATAAGATTGGAACAGTGTGCCTCACAGTGGACCTACAGCGCTAGTGGCTGCTGTCTTCTCAGAATAGCCTGCGCACCAGAGTATTTGCCTGCCATGTCAGCTGCTCCATCATAGCCTTGCCCCCGCAAACCAGCCATCGGTAGGTTGAGCCTCACCAAAACATCAGTGGCCATGTCAGCAATGGCCTGAATCCAATAAACTCTTCATGTGGCACTAGGTCATGATCGACATAGCGGAGGCAGATAGGCTCCTGCTCTGCACCAGATATATCTTGTGTATCATCTACAATTTTGAAAACTTCAGAATGGGAAGAGACCTGATGGTGTTTGCTATGTCACGAATGACAGTGTTTGCCATTACATTCAGTATCTCATTCTGTGCATGACAGCTGGTGTTATTAGTGGTGAGGGTTTTTCATCTTCTGACCTCAGCTTCAACAGTTGGTCGAGATTCCCACTGCCAGATTTACCTCTCAAGGCTTGACCCTGTCTTGCCAGGTACTGAACAGAGCTGACGATTCTCAGGAGGCTATGCCTGGCCTCCTCCTCCTGTTGTTTAGCCTATGAGCTGGATAGCTGGACACTGACAGGGTTAGAGTCATGTGCACTCACTGTTGACAAATGAGAGTAGGTTTTTTGGTGAGCTGCAAATTTCTCTAAAGCCTTCTTCCTGTTCAGTTACAAAAGCAGCGTCCACTTTTTGGCCAAAAGAGGACCTGTTGTCAGTAAACACTTTGTTACAATAAAAGCACAAGACCCCTTTGACCTGTGGATTGTAATGGAGCCAGGTGTACTCTTGAAACCATATTTCTTGAAAAGATAAAACCCTCTTTGACAACTTTTGTGTTTCTATGTGTTTTGGGTGTTGCTAATAAGGTTTTGTGCCACCTTCTACCCCTGTACTGCATCTGGGCTCTGGCCTGGTCTGGTTGTTCCCTGGCACTGGTCTGGTTGTTCACTGGCACTGGTCTGGTTGTTCCCTGGCACTGGTCTGGTTGTTCACTGGCACTGGTCCGGTTGTTCCCTGGCACTGGTCTGGTTGTTCACTGGCACTGGTCTCTCCCTGGAGCTTGAACCTGAACTCTGAGCCTGACACTCCACCACGCCGCTCTCCCTGATGTCCTCTTCTGCCTCTCAATTCAAAATAAATAATCATCATACTATGAAACCTTACCTGAGACTCCCTTTCCCCATCATCTTGTCTGGTAATGTTATTGAAGCTGCTCACCACCTCTTCAGCGGTCTTCCTAACTTTCATTGGCCCAAGAAAGAAATCTCGTATGTCCCCTCATTTTTTCTGCCATGCTTTGGGAAACAGTGACCTGGACCACACGTACAAACAGGACAGACACTGGTTTATTATGGAATGATTCAAAATACTTCAACTTAACTTCACAGTAATATAGCTAGGTAATATAAACAAACACCTGATCAATGTGCACTAGCAAGCAGGCAAGCCATCTAGCTAGTGCAATGTGCACTAGCAAGCAGGCAAGCCATCTAGCTAGTGCATGTAGAAGTATTAGAGCTAGTGCTGCTAAACTAGCTTCTAGTGAAGTTACTTCACTACAGGTGGCAAACAGAGTCTGATTACGTTTTTAAATCATTTATGGGCACACTACTGTTCTAGTATTAGTATTCTACTTTCGATCAAAATGACTCACAGAAAGGCATCTTCTTCTGCAGCAAACTACCAGAGCCCCAGGCTGCAGCCACGTTCAAGAGCTGAGAGGAAGATTGAGGGGGTCGGTTTTTTTTAAAGCCTGCAGATGTCATCAGCGTCTGTGTAAGAAACTACCCATTCATTTGCACTGTAGTGGAGGAGACCAGAGATGGAATGTGGAGTCAGAAATATATTTGTCAAACATTATTTGTTCCACCATTTCAATCATTTCTTTTTAGATGTGAATCTAAAATGTGAAGAATGTGAAGTCTGAAAATACATTTGTTCAATTTTTAATGATTTAGGGTATTTTTATTGGGGGGGACAATTCATGTTTTTCAGAAATTGGGGGGGACATGTGCCCCCTGTCCCCCCCCCGGGATCTGCACCCATGGCAGCAGGTACTTGTGGATTGGGATTGTGTGATCTCATTGTGCTTGAGCAACTTAAAAATTCAGTGCCAGTGCGTATTGCCACATACATCAGTGAGCAGAAAGCAAAAAGTGCAGCTGAAGCTGCAGCTCTTGCTGATGTTTATGTGCTGACGCACAGAGGCAGTTCTGGGAGGTCTAGACCTGTTAATGGTCCTGTTGGTGGGTGGAGTCGGGTGGCCGGCATGGTAAACCTTATCAAGTTGATGGTAGAGGTGGCAATATACGGGATCCAGAAAAAGTTTGTAACTACTGTCACAAACCAGGACACTGGAAAATTGATTGTCAGTGGTTAAAACAAAAGCCTAGAAATGCTGCTTTTGGTGACAATGTTAAAGGGGTTTGTGTAGCCGCACCTGTTTCTCAAGTCATCACTCCTGATTTGATTTCTAGCATGCGTAAAAAAGACTTGTATCCTTCGGATATGGAATCTTTCCGACCATTTATTCGGGAAGGTTTTGCGTCTATGATGGGAAGTAAGGAGAAGGTGCCAGTGACTATTTTGAGAGACACTGGGGCATTTAACTCTTTCATTCACACTGAGGTTTTACCCTTGTCCAACGAATCACAAACAGGCAGCTCTGTTCCTGTTCCGGGTATGGATTTGAATATGTTTGTTCCGGTGCACAAAGTGAAGCTTGACTGTGAGCTGTTCCAGGGTGAAGCTGAGCTAGCTGTGCGTCCGGCATTGCCGATTCGGGGAATTCATGTAATTCTGGGTAACGATTTCATGGGTGCTCGGATGTGGGCAGAGGTACCTCCACCTGCCTTGGTCACTGGTGGGATTGCAGACAGATGAAAATGAACATAATTTTCAAATCTGAAGCTCGGTCAAATAAGGAAAATGTTTCCGGGAAGTTCTCAATACCTCTGTCTAATTCTCCTGTGTCAATATCCTGTAGTGATCTGGTTGCTGAGCAGCAGGCTGACCCCTCCCTGTAGGTGCTGTTTGAGCAGGTCCAACCTGAGAGTGAATAGGCCATTT